AAACAACAGAGCCTTAGACTCTAGAATCCAAGAACCACAAAAGCTCTCTTCTTCCCCTGCCTACTAAATGACAACAAAGAAGGTCATCTGTTTGAAGTCTCTCTGAAGAAGATGGATAGTGTAAATGGTGTCTGAGACTAGGACCAGAGACAAGTTCATTCTGGGTTTAAGAGACAAACAACATCTGTGAGAGTAAAGCTTCAGGAAGCACATGTATGCAAAATATTTGCAACTGTAACTTTTACCCATCAGTTCTTTATAATCATAATCCCATTCCACCATTTCCACCCAATTGTGATTCATTTTAGATTTTGTAATTCACCTCAAATTAGAGTTCAAAGTCCGTCTAAGAACAGGTGCGGGTTGTACAGGTGAAAGGTCACATGGTTAAGTCTTAAAATGTGATAATAGCCAGGCGCCTGCCATGTCTTGAGTTTTATAATGACAACCACCATTTAGATTTTTTTGAATCCACTAAAACCAATAACAACCAATGTCCAAATAACAAACTAAATTATGTATGAACTTAAAATGGTTTGGCCTATTGAAAGCTAATTACTGTTTTGAGTTTAAATCTTCATGATTGATAGTATTTATTTGAATAAGCTTTCTGATAAGACCGTCAGCTAAGTGACATGTAATGTAATTATTGAACACCATGATCATGAAAACTGGTGTTTGTAATACACATTTAGCATATTACTTAAAATAAATAGAATTATCTTACACATGCATGCAAACAACTTGTGTTGAACAGAATGCCGTTGTCAAACTAGGGGTCACGTCACATCCATTATCACCCCAGGTGGTAGTTGCACCAATTCAGCCTCGATTAGCCATGACCAAGGCAAGACTCCTGCAAAGACAACCCCCCACCACCAGTTTTAAAACCAAGGTCAAAGGTAAGCAGGCCGGCTGCAGCTGTGAGGGCTGCTTTCTGAAACTGGCTCCTGAGCAGCGGCTGATTTCAGTTTGATTATTGCTTAAGTGTCCTGACTAAACCCTGCCTGGAGCTGAAAACAAACTAGAAATGTAAGTTTGTACAGAAGTGATAGAGATCTGTTTACTCTGCTTTTGTTTGATTAAAGGATTTTAAAAATACTCTTTGTTTATTGAACATTTATTGAAGGGGTTATTTGAGTTGCTGCAAACGAGGCTGTTGAGAGCCATTGTGTTTACTATTTGTTAACGGACAAACATGTCCCATAACAGCTCTGTTTTCTGTTTTCAATGAGGAAACATTCCTTATTTTCTGCAGATATTCACTAACTACATGCTTGATGTCCTGATCCATGAGCAGTAGCCGCTCTAAATTCGGACCACGAGAAAGGCAGCACTAGTCGACCCAGATGTGACTGCAGTGATGGATGCATGTGGACCAGCCGCTGCAACAACATGTCTATTTCAGTCTCCCATTGTTTGGCACTCAGTCATCACTGTGTATGTAACAAGTCAACAGGCAGTCTCCTGTGTGTGCTACCCTTTTGCCCACAAAAGAAAAAGGATTCATAGAAAAAAAAAAAGGGGGCATGTGTTTCCCCTCTCTCAGCACGTGTCCTTCCACCAAGTAAAACTGTCCCCCTCCCACTTTCCTCTCCCTCATTGTCTACAATACCCCCAGTTCACGTAAAGCACACAGAATGGTAAAAGTTTGACTGACATGGCACACATTTCCAAAATGGAATACATGCCTGGCAGCATGTGCAATGGCACTCCTTATTTATTGTAACAGTGTCAGTTGTTTGATTAACATTGGGTTTGAAAGAGTTGCTGTGAACACCGCAGAGCACATGAACACCAAACAATGTTGCCATCTGCTCCCCATAAACTGAGCAAGGTTTATCCGTTTGTTACAAAGTGGATTCAGGGTTTTTCCAGTGGATTTTATCTCAGTCAAGTCAACAACATGTACTGTTCGGATGACCATCACTATCTCACTCTCTGTTCCTCTAACTGACAGCTGCGAATAAATATTGCTCTCCCTTTCTGTGGAGACATTCTGCCTCCTAAGTCTGGTTATGAATTGAAAACTCAATCCACAAAATGAACATTTGTATATACATTTTTCACCTTGTAATCTTGAAGAGAACAATTATCCTAGCATCAATGATGACAGAAGAATCAGAAAATGAAAAGAAAGTCTTGAATTTCCCAAACCAAAAAATAATTTCGCAAAGCTTAACAAAGGCTTTGGCACACCTGTGGGTAAAGTAGGCCTATTCCTTAAATGATGTGGGAGGAGACATAGTAAATGACTAATCCATATTTCACGCTATTATATAAACATATTAACTTTAACTGTTATTGTTTTTTCAGCCTGTGAAGCCAATTGTAAAAGCCCTCATGAGATTTCAACTCATTCAGTGATTCTGCAGGAAAAACTTCTCATGAAATATGAGCTTTTTCCTCCATCACACAGGCAGCATAGTGGCTTTAACATATGTGACGTGCTTATGCAATGTCAGACTCAGGCTTGTACTACAGCGAATTCCAGGTACTCTGGGTGGCTGGCATAAGAAAAAACCAGTCATCACGGCGTGTCATGAAGATGTAAATCACACTGAAATGCAGAGGTGGAGGGCGGGTGCAGCATTCATGGGAACCATGGTGACAAAGTGTTGGGTTGCACCCTGTCACCTTTGAGTGGAGAAATAGTGGATGACATGTGACACTGCCGGCCACCTGTCTCACTACGATAGGTGTCTGCTAACACACCAACGTCCTAAGGAGCACACATGTAGAGCCAGATACACGCAGCTGTCCAACAGGAAGATTAAGTGGACAAAGATAAAGCACAAAGTGTTCCTTTGGTGAACCGGAGGATCAGTTCTCAATCCTGTTCGTCTCAATGGTCCTGAACAAACAAGTAGCGCCTTAATTCAGATGTATCCAACTCTCACTTGGTTTTTCAACCACTTCTCTTTTCTATCGTTTCCTGTTAACCATTATTCATGCATTTAAGTGCACAATTCTCCTTTTCGATTATTACACAGTACTTGTTTTTTCCCATTTGGTTATTGTAGACATTGGTCCTTCCTTGTTCACACAAACTACCTGATAACAGATAATGTATGAATACTCTCATTACCAGGCTTATTCTGATGATATGCATTTATGAAACAATGAGAATATCTTTGTAATATACTATGTTAGTTATTTACAATAAAAAACTAATGAGGTTGCTGTCATAAGCAGCAGCTGAGACGCAAATAGTGCAACGTATGCTAATCTTATGCAAGACAGATCCATATTTTGGATAAAAAGTGACCAATAGACATTAGCACTGACACAAAATGAACTGCATACATTTACCATGATCTTGCTTTTAAGAGTTATTATCTATTTTGGTACTGTTTTGTTTATGTACCCTTGTTTTCCTGCTCCTATTATACTCACGTACAGTATAAACTATGCCTTGTTTCCCCTGTTTGTCTGAAGTTGCTCTATTTTTGACCACCCATCTGTAGTACGTCAATTTTCCCGGAACAAAAAAAAAGCAACCCTTATCACAAATGACTAGTTCCTTCAGAAGAGGACAGGAGGAGGCTAAGAGGCCTAATTTGTATCAGCATTTCGTAAGAAGCATTCATTTGAAGTTAAGATGCAGGCATGATTCCCACAGAACTGGACATAAACACTAGATTGCGCCTTGAAAGGCTGGGAGAGGTGACGTCGTTATTCTAACCTCCTCTGATGTTCTCAAAGAGTAGTTCAAGTCATTTTACTGACAGCGTGAAACACAGTTTTCTTTGAAAACACAGTCAATGTTTTCTCACATGTAATCGAGGCAGTGCAGTCCAGGGCGCTGTAAATGTGTGTAATATGGCCTTTCCTGTCTCCCTCTCTCCAATGTCTACATTTGCCAGCCGCAACTACAATGCTCCCTATTTATAGCGCTTTTGCCTCAGATATTAACTCTCTCCCCCGCTTAGCCCGCTACTTCCTGTCAGAGAGGAAACGTGTGTGTGTGTGTTTGTGTGTGGTTCACTGACCTTTGGGTGAAGCGAGCAACCAGACTGCTTTTGATGGCAACAGGATTTTGTGTTTCCAGCCTTTTTGTGTCAAGTTGAGTGAGGTGTGAACAGATGTCACAGCCTGTTTTTGAGCGCTCTGTCCAGCTATTCATCCACTTATTTCCATCATCTAAAATAACCTATTGGGAATAAGAAAGGAATAAAAATGACAGCTAGGGCCAGGTGACAAGTTTTCTGCCCATACAAGCAATCTATTTCAGGGCTTTTGAATGAGTGTGTGTGCTGTACGTGTTTGGGTGTATGTTTGTGTAAGCCAACACTGCGGGGTTGAGATGTTGAAGTTCACCTTCCTCCAAGGCTATGTTCGAAGGAAAAGCAGCAACTGTCTGGAATATCCTGTTTTGGACGTAAACACTGTTGTGTAGCCAGGGCTGCTCCCCATGTTGGAAACACAATGTGTCCTATCACTTTATGTCAGCTATCAGCCTCCCTGGTGGCCAATAATAATGAACACATAATCCTTTAAAGACACAGAGCCTTTTTAGAAGCAGGTCTAATAAAAAGGTGGCAGGTGTTTTGGGATTGTTTCTCTAACTTGGACAGACATAAGAGAGACATGGTAGGAAATCCAATGGAGGAACACGCTTTTTCTGTCTGCCTGCCACGCATGTCCCGGGACATTTTCTCCTGACATCACCTCCTCTGGTCACCTCTGGGTTACAGGCAGGGGATATTCCATGTCTAGACTTCTTGCCATTTTGTTTGTGGCTGCTTCACAACATAAGGGCATTACACAGAGACTTATAAATGACTTCAGTAGCGACAGTAAAAATAAATGTGCTCCATAAACAAAAAGACATCAAAAATGAGAATGAAGTTTGAATGACTTCAGGAAATGGTTATGAAATGTGATGAAGGAGGTGAGCAGCCTATACAGCACTTTGATCAGTCAAAGTGAAATCTGTCTTCTCTTCTTGAATTGTTAAGCATTCATCAATGAGTATGAAGTTAAACCAGACGTACGAGTGCAGGTTGTACATTTATTTCATGTCCATTCTGTTAGAAGAAATGCCTTGTATTTGTGTTCCTTCTAAAACAGCTCATAAAAAACATTTACTTAGAAAAATATACATTGATATTAGAACTGAAAAGTTGAGATTCAGTGTTTAATTCAAATATACAATTTGCATATTAAAAACTACAATAAAAAAGCTCAGAAAAGGTGGCTTCGATTGAGGCTAGAGAACCCATAGAGCAAGCATCCAAAAGAAGGCACATCATTTTCCGAACTCCTCATAAAGCTTATTGAGCCGACATTCAGCAGAAAAAAACAGTTTCTCATGTGTGCATGAAAGACAGGGAGGAAAGTCGAGGGTAAGTCCACTAGAAGATACTTCTTCCTGTTGTTTACCCCTCCCTGTTTCACCCCATCCTTTCACGTCCACTTTCTCTGAAAAAACAATGAAACTCAAGCTAAATACAGGAGAGCCCAGCTACTGCTACAGTACTACCTATGGTTAGCTGACTTTGGAAAGGTCATCAGGTTGAAAGTAAGTGGGGGCCGGGTTTTTTTTTTTAAGACTAACCCTCACTCTCCTACTCCTGAGTTAAGCTGAATACCCAATAAAAAACAACTAAGGTCACTGCTTTTGATTCAAACAGTACGAATGTTCAAGGCAAACGTGTCATTAAAAAGGCCGCCGTTAACAACATACTTAATCCTTCATCATCTATATCGCTTTCCTTTCTCTTTCAAAGTCCACTCTTCCACTCTTTTCCTTACAACCCTTCTCAATATCCATCTCTTTGCACTTCATCAATGTCCAATAACTTTCTGAAACAGTCCAGACACGGCCTTTTAAAATCTCCTAAATGTTTAGTTTCTTTCAATCTGGTCAAGATCCAGCTCTCCCCCGAGCTGGAAAATGTCCCTCTGTGTCCCACAGTCACCCTTCCAGAGGGTGTGTTTGTCTCCCACCATGCCTTCAGGCGAGCCGGGCCGCGAGTCCATGCTACAAGCAGAATCGCTATCCAGCTCCTCGTAGGAAGAATCCTCATCATCTCCTGCCACTTCCTGCCGTGGATCCATTCCCAGCTCGGACACAGCGGTGAAGTCTGGTTGGCTGAAGGTGTCGAAGATGGGAGGGAGCAAGCTTGATTGGCAGCCGTCGGTGGCAGAAAATCCAGGGCAGCTCAGGCTCTGAAAGGTCTGAAGTTTCTGTATAGAGGAGACAAAGAGGGAACATAGATGTTGGTTTGTACACCTTAGCTCAGGGTCACATTCTGACTTCACTCCAATGAGGCTATAAAAGTCACAGGGTTTGTCAGGAGGGAATTGGAGCTCAGGGTTTTCCGGGATGTCAGTTTGAAATTAGGTTTCATTCGGGCAGCCAAAAGCTGGCGTTTCCTTTCATCTACGGCATGTGAACATGTAAACACGCACACGCACAAGCCACAGAAGAACATAGTTCTGCCTTCAGAAAAACACTCGAAACATGGAGATGATTTGCAAACCACAAAGGTATCCAGTTTCAAACTTTGCTCCAGGCTTAATTACTGGGAACCCAAACTTGGATAGAGGTTAGGATGTTTTGTTGTTGTAGACTCTGAGGGAGAGTGGAGGAGAATCTGTATACGTGAACAACAGCCTGTGTTTTTGCTTTCAACACTTGACCTCCTACAGATTTAATTTACTAAGAACTTGTCTTTCATGCTGTCTTTCCACCCCAAACTCCTCTCTGCAACAAAGAGAGGCAGCCGTGCAGCGAAGGGAAGGGGTTAATGATCTCTGGAGTGCCCCAGCAGCAGATGTTGGAGGCATGGAGGTGAATAGAGATGAGGTTTTTCTCTATAGAGCCTCAGCTTACATGACGGACACCTCTAATGTTCCCTAGTGTGTTTGGACATTGCTTTTCCTGTTTCAATGAGCTGGGATACTCCCATTCTTAAGTCTCATTTTAGTGGACTCACTTTTTTCCCTGCCATGATTTAGCACGGTCCAGATGAAAACTATAATGCATAATTTTGGCTGTCCGAGTTAAGAGCTGGCTCGCTTTTGCAGGATTAACTTCACAAGTTAGCTGCTCGGACGCAGGATACAGCATCTGCAAACGCTTGAGGTGTTCATGAGAGGAGTAGGAAGGAGGCTGTAGTTACCCCAGTGGAGTAGAAAAGGGGATTTCTGAGCAGTCTCTCTCTCCGTTCAACCCCCAGCATTACCCCACTACTAATTATCACAGCAGAGGAGGGGACGAGAGGAAGGGAGACAGAAGGGGGAGAGGCAGCTTCTCTTCATATGCTTTCTATAAAATCTACGAGCATGAATGGGATTTGGGTGGGTGTGGTGGAAAGTTGGGGGAGCAGGGTTAGATGTCTGTGTACCCAGCTTTGCCTGTGTGTTTTTTCTTCTTTTCACTTGAGCATACCCCCACCCAGATGGATCTCACACACACACACACACACACACACACACACACACACACACACACACACACACACACACACACACACACACACACACACACACACACACACACACACACACACACACACATATATTTGCACTTTTTGGTTATCAAAAGTATCAATAATTATTATTTATGGCTGCACTAGCATTCATTCTCACTATAGTATCATATGGCGATAATTTGCTAGAATTTGTTCAAATGTTTGAAAAGCTGATCATCATTAAATGCTTTATTTTCTCAGTCTAAAACTCAGGATATTTAATTTATTATGATATAAATCAGAGACATCTCCACATTTGGGAGGCATGGAATTTTTCTGCCATTATTGCATGAAAAAATAAATATTCCGATTATTTATTTATCTCAATAGTTGGCGTGTATTTTTCTGAAGATCGGCTAATCATTGCAGCTATTAGTAGTATTAAGTAACATACTCCAGAACACTGGATTATACCTTTTCCTAGACCAAAAGCGTCTTTGTTCAAACCCCTCTCTCTTTCTAAACTTATTTCAAAACCAACAACACTTGCTTTTAATGCAAGCTATTGTTAATTTTCAAGTCTCAAACACAAACGATTCTGTGAAAAGATCTGGTATGTTATAATAAAAATCTTAAGGCTTATAACTCCATTCTATAATGTATTCGATTATTGTGTAACAGGGAGTCTTTTTCTTCCACGTTCTAATTATTAAAAGTCATTCAATACAACCCTGTGTAATAACTGTTAGTTTGGTAGACATTATCTATTATTCCAAACCACAATCAACATAACCAGAATTTCCACTGTAACGACATTATCTTCAACATGGGGATTCAAAGGCAGCTGCTGGGAGAGAAGCAGAAGCCAAGAGGTTACGCAAATATCCTCCTGATAATTAGGCCAAACAACAAACAACACCCTGCAAAGCTCTCTGGCAATGGACCTGCTGTGAACTTCAAACACACACAAAGAAGCACAATACACAAAGGCATGTACACACACAAGGAAGAAGTTTACTACATGGTTAATTTGCAGGTTTAAAATACGAGTAGATTTCTTTGGATAAGCTCAGTACTGAAATTAGGTCAGATAAAAAACACCCATCCATAAAGGTCTCTGAGGCAAACAGACCTCTAACAGGCAAACATTTATAAAACAAAGGAGATGGCAAATGTGCAAGCAAAGACAGGAGGACTTAACTCATTCCTGCTCTGGTTTCTGTATATGATTAGTTTTCACAGTACCGCAGAGAGAATGCATGGTGGCAGATGTAAGGTGCAAATTCCAACAGGTAAGAAGAAAAATGAAAAAGCATGATACATAAGTGAGATCAAAGAGCAGATGTGACGCCACGCTGCAGTTTGGTGATGCTTTAGAGAGCACCTTTGGGACAAGTCATAACATGTCTATAAAAAAAATGACGAGTGCCGCGCCACAAGAGCTCGACGCTCAGCTATGATCACCATGTCTGCCATCCCAGGAATGAGAGAGATGAAGAGAGGAGGGGAAGAGCTCGAACCGGGGCCAGCGAGAGGATATTAATAGAGAGGAGTTTGAACTGTCAGCTTCCCTGATAAAATAATACCTGCTTTCTTCACACTCCCATTCCTCTCCTGAATGCACAAGCAACTGCACGCACACATTTACCATCTAAACAGCTCTACTGCCAACGAAGCAAAGCCTGTTTTTTTATTTTTAAATGTATGCCTGTTTTCATTTGTACTGGCAGTGGGGCTAGAAAGATGACACACAGGCCGTTTCCTCAAAAGCATACTCTGAGCTGAGTAAACAAACATTCAGCGAAGTGACGTACAATCAAGAGATAACATTTCCCATCTGACGGTTTGCTACACCCAAGTATGAAGAGGGTAAAACAATAAGGAGCTGAGGAGAAATGTCAGTCGGGGATAAAAATGTGGCAGTGGACAAAGTAGTGAACTGATATTCACGGCCGACAAGGAGGACATTCAAGGAATGCAGGGGTTGGTTTCACGGAAATCCCATCGGTAGTCGAGCTATAGCTTATTAGCATGTCATACATCCCCAGAATTCACACCCGCCTTCATTGACGTGGTGGAGGGATCTAAAGGCCATATTAAACCATGTTCCACTGACACCACACCCGAGGGGCTTGTCATATGTTGACCCGCACAATCCTTAACCCCCTGAACCCCCAGCAGAATTAGCAACCACCCTCTGCATTTGGATTCTCTAACACATGATACAAATAAACACATCTGTACAGGGGAGAGAAGACCTTCCTTTGGGTGCAGAGACACAGTTTGTTGGGACAAAGATGCCCACAGTAATTGAGCTTTCTTCACAAGGACTGTATTACTCATCCTCAAACCTATTAAATGGAGTTAGTATGATGGCTAGTGTGCGTTGGTGTGAGAAGAAGTAATAAATCTTAATAAATACCCGAAAGGCAGGGCAGAGTGAGATGTGGGAGTGTTGTGATGAAAAAGACAGGTATACAAAAGGTGTGCGGCATATAGCCAGCAGTGAACTATAAAGATTGTCACTTAAATCACACAGATCCACGGCGGTCCGTTCAAATATTGAGTTTGCCCGAAAGCAGCTGAAGAAAAAAGTGGTGGTACTGTGTGATGGCAGTTCTGACATATTTTTCAGTGGCTTCAAATCCCTTCCTCAAAATCACGTAAAGGATCATACTTCAATAAAGGGCGGTAAGATCAGATCTGTTTCCTGATAGCATACAGATACAGAACCGGTTGTAACCAGCTAGGCATTTCCACATTATCACCTTCTTTTCCAGACAATGTGCCAGCTGCGAGAGCTTCCCCTTGGCTCTCAGCAAGAACACTTTTAACTTGGGACAACTACGATAAACTTAAAATAGGTGATTTAATTGACATGTCATATAACAAGTTAAGCTTCCTAATCACACTTAAAGCCAGACTTTAACCTCGGCCGATGAGATAATATCATGTTAAGCCTGAGTAGCGCAGAAAGAGGAAGAGGTGACAGAGTTGATGTGTCCTAAATCAACCTGTATGTGCTGTGTTGCTATCCTCACACCAGGCATGCAAGACAATGTTGCACAAGTAAACATTCACAGGAGATTCTGAATTGATAAACTCTAACCTGCACAACCTGACTCCTTTCAGCAGTGCTGAGTGCATGCAATCACTCAATCTGAGGTGAGAAACAATGGCACCACCTGTTAACTGCTCAGAACAGTGACCACGTATACAGACATCTGCAGAGGAATGCTCCTGCATTCAAGCAGTGCAGCAACCTGAGGTAACGTACAACTGACTCCATGTGTGCGTTTGTGTATCAGTGCATATGTGTGTGATCATCATGATTTTCCCCTCTTAGCAGCTGGCGTGACTGGAGGAAACATGCTCGCTAGGCTCCATTACTAAAGCCATGTTGATCCAACCCTGGCTGGGTCCTGAGGGTGACTGGCTGGGAACACAAATCTTTGGGAAGAGGAAGGGAGGGGAAGGGGCATACATTGATGGTACTGTCTAATAAGAGAACAGGAAAGGGACCATATTTCCGTGAGAGTGGGACGGAAGATTCTAGTGTGTCATATGCATGCTACGTGCAGGGAAGCAGGAATAAACGGGAGTCAGGGAACAATTCGGCTTTGATATCAGGGCCTGCTGTTTTTGCTCTAGCTTCGTTGCAGAATATCAAGATCATTCGAATGAATAATGAAGCAGGATGTGAAAAATCAACATATCTGGTCTTTGTAAAAGAACCAAAGCAGTGCCAAGCATCAGAACATTACATGTCATTAAAGTACATCTACAATTTCTATTTTGGGTTGGTCCTTTCTGTTCCACTGCATCTGCTGAACCCTACAAAAAACTAACACGCTCTTGTTCTGGGGAAAAGCAGCATCCAAATGAACTGTGAGGGGTCCAACCATCGGACGGACTGTTTACCCAACAGAATAAATGAAATGATAAACCGGAGCCGGGCTTGCTAGAGCGTGGTGCTAGGCAGCGTGACCGAACAAGAGGAATGCTTCTTTCTTTCGTGAGCAACACTCCCTGAGCTGGAGTGAGGGAGGCCTGAGATCAGTTAGCCCTGAAGCCTCGGACCGTCGACCCAGAAAACTTAATTCAGCCTAATTTAATCCAGTCCCCGATCAGACTCAGAGAGAGACAGGCCCGGTTATGTTTGAGGATCCCATGAGCTTCCCCTTGGTCTCAGAACAAGAAAGTGATTGTGTGGTAAATAAGTTTGGTCCAGGGTTTCACTGAATGGAATTGAAGAAACTTCGCAGAATCAAAGCAAGATTACGAATAAGCTGATGGTGATTTATGTTCAAATCAGTCAATGAAAGTAATACTGAGCTATGTGAAATTAGTCACTCTATAATACCACGCATTTCATTGATTGTGAATGTGAGTGTCTCTCTGTGCGTGTCAGGAACAAAATGAAAGCTAACCTGAGTCATCTTTGCCAGGTCCAGGGAGGGACGCTGCTCCTGGGCATCTTCCGGCCGCCTGCGCTTCATACCGATTTTTTTGTCGTTCAGCACGCAGGGGTGGGACTTGCTCCGAGACAGACCCCCCGATCCCCTCGCTTTCAGGCCGGCTCGCCTCCCCAATTCTGGAGTAGAGTCTGGAGAGCTGGCCTCCTCCCTCTGCAGCTCTGGGAGGCTGATCTGCTCGTGGGAGAGGGACAGGGGCCTGAGGAAGTGGTGATGATGCGAGGGAGGAGAGGTAGGGGAGACTGGAGAGGCGGTGAATTGAGGGTGGGGAGGCAGTCGCTGGTTGAAGAACGGCAGGTCCAGGGCTCCCTCTATGGGGATGCTGGAACGTGAGGGCAAACTGAAGCTGGAGCTACGCTGCATGGCAGGAAAATGTCCTCCAGAGAAACCTCCTCCTCCTCCTCCTCCTCCTCGCACACTCCCTCCACTGTGGCACCTTCGTTTCTCCACCGTCGTCCACACTCGGGAGCCTTGAGGCCTCCAAGATGAGCGGCACCCGCTGAATTCATCGGAGAAAGACAGGGAGCGGCACTGACGTTTGCTCGGGGGTGCCGTGGGAGCTTGGCTGGTAGCTGTAGAGGTGTGGGGGACAGTGGTGGGTGTGGAGTGGGGGGAGAGGGGGCCGGTCATGCCAGCGTCGCCGAGGCTGAGATCTCTTATCAGCGTGGAGATTGCCGTGGCGCTGCCTGGCGAGTTGGCCCAGTGCCAGCCTCCCGGCTCCGGCATCACATCCCACAGCCTCTCCAGACCGGCACCAGGCTGGCAGGGGGCTCTCTGCTGGACCCCACAGCTCTGACCCAGGTCCAGCCACCTGTCTGCCTCTGCAAAATCCAAAGAAATACAAACTCACTCTCATGACCTCCAAATCAGCCATTTTATATTCCTCTACATGCAACTGCAGCATAAAAAACTAGTTAAAAGAAAGGCAACAATGTCTCAAAGGAACTTATAATATGTAACCACACAGACTCAAACAAACAGGGACAAGTTTAAGGTCACAGGAGATGTAAGGATAAACTGGAGATTATTGTCTGGTGACTGAAGTAGGGGAGAAACTGAACATACATTATTATTATTATTATGAAGGGCGGTTTCACAGCACTAAGTACAGAACTCCACACGAAATCATGAGCTTTGATGTATAAAATTGTTTTTGAAATGTGTCATCAATCTCTCTCCACATGATCAATGACAGATGAACGAATTAACAATGCAGCTGCAGAGTTTTACTGAAAATGTCATTCAGTTCTCAATGCATTTCAAAGACATCGGGTTGTTTTGTATGAATATTATGGAGCTCTATTGCACATTATGGTACGTCTATGGCTTAGTTGCTGACAGCATGACTCAACAAGATCACTATGTGTGATTATTTTTCACATTAACAGCTGGATGATATAAAAGAGGAAACATCAGCTGTAAATCGTAATGGCGCCTTACTCTAGTCATTAACATCAAGATTCTGTGTCCATTTATTTTATAGTTACGGACAAAAAACTGAAATCCTAGATCCTGAAAGAATTGCCACTGTTCCTCAGTCGGTCCACCAAATGTTATAGCCGCTGTTTTTGAGTTATTGAGCAAACAAACAAGCAACATTCAATCTGCTGACTATCTTGAACCTGGACCTGCAAGACTGTTGATTACAAAAACATGAACTTCATATTACAATGAGAAATCAGCAAGTGAAATAGTTGGCACGCTCTTCCACAAGTCAATTGGTCAGCAGGATGTGCTTTGGAAAGCTGTGTGTCTTGCCAGCTGTCTCCCTGTCTGTACAATAGAGTCTATCACACATTTTTGGGAGATAATACACCTACAGCAAAGTGCCCAAGTTGCTTGAAATACTAAGCCAAGTGGTAAAGTCGTGAATCTGTTGAAGCTTTTGGCAAAAAGGGCCCTTTGCTGATCCAAAACCCCGTCCTCTTGGATGCCTTTCTCTAATTTTGGCATGCTGTCTCACAGACTGGTGCACGGAAATCATTGTTTTGAGCGGACAAACAATGTACGGGGGCTACAGTGACGACCTGACAGGAATGTTAGGAAAACAACTTGACAAAGGGAGAAAGGGATGAACTTCAAAAGGCCACCCTTTGAGAGCTAGAGACAAAGTGCTGGTTGAAATAACAAGACATGTGAGACAATGTTAACGTCAACATTAACAGTGGAAACAGCATGCCACGCTCCTTGCTGTGACGTCACCACACCCCCTTCTTCCCCAAAAAAAGAAAGGGAGGATGGTGATTGATAGCGGGTGCTTGAATTTACAGTAGCATGTCCTTCAACACAGGGGGCAATTACTGTAACACTAAGGGGGGAGGGAAATTGTTGACATTGGCAAAAAGCATATTCAATTACAGTTTACTCCCATGAGAGTGGTGTGCAACGTAGTGTGGAGGCAGGTGCACCCTGATCATGAGAGGGGGACGAGTGACTGCCAGAGAAAGTAAGAAGTGAAAGACAGTGGATAAAAAATGAGACATGTATAGTGGGGGGTCCCTTTCTTACTTCAATTTATTAAAAGATTTGAAGAACAGTCTAGCAGGCTATTGCATTTGTGAAACAACGTTTTGACAAATGACCCCAACTGAACAGTGATTACGGCAGAGGAAACAAAGATAGGATTTCAATTATATATATTTAAGTGTCATTGATATTAAACTCTTTTAAGAGTGACCTGACCAAGAGGGCAGCATGACATTTTTTACAATAATAGCAAACAAAATTCACACAGTACAAATGAATGAGCAAAACATCCAGTTTTTTTTGTTGTTGTTCTGTTTATGTTTTTATGTTTCATGTGGAACCTACTTGAGCAGGTCTCCCTTGAAAAAGAGATCAATGATCTCAATGGGATACACCTGGGTAAATAAAGGTTTGAAATTAAATGAAATGAAAAAGTTATAATGCATAAGATGCCCTTGATCTATCTTATGCATTATAACTTTTTCATTTCATTTAATTTCAAACCTTTATTTACCCAGGTGTATCCCATTGAGATCATTGATCTCTTTTTCAAGGGAGACCTNAGATTTTAGCGTGAGGGTTGGAGGATGTGTTTGATCTGACAGATGCAGGTGTTTGCTTTTCTTTACTTTTTTTTGGCACAGTGTGCAAATATTACCATCTGACAAAAGCTATTTCCGTCAACCACAAGCACACAAACAACCTCGAAGCGCCGATCTATTCAACGAGACATTCAAACTGTCGAGACATATTTGAATGTCTGGAGAATAAACCAGTCGTTTGCTTTGAAGTTATTATGCCAAGTAAGCTTTCCTTTAGTAATCCTATGAACTCATACACATGGGATGCTCGAGACCACGCCATTAATCTGTGTCTTCAAGTAAAAAGGATTGAAACAAAGGTTGTGGGCATGCAGTGTGTGGCTGCTGTAATAGTGAACTGTCTTTGAGTCAACTCCTAAACCAAAGCAATAGCACACACTGATTAAAGGTGGACTGAAATGGATATGTGGGTGGTCGTATGATTCATTAGACACAGAGAAAGCTCAGACCAATACCAGCCGTTAGTACTGCGATCAAAATGGCAGCAGATGCAATGACATGAATACACATTTAGAAGCTGTTGAAGGAGAAACTATTTAGACAAGTGTGTGATCATGATGTAATAAATAAACTCAAACAACACAGTGTAAATTAATGTCAATGCCACAGAGCAACACAAAGTGTCTCTTTCCTTTTCCAGCATGTACAGTAAAGGCCCATGTAGTATTCTCTGGTACTTTTTGAAAGCATCAAACACTGTTGAGCTTTTGTTCTCGCGTCAAAGGACCACACACAATGCCTCTGCTGCATGATCTGTGTGAGTGAGACCCAGAGAGACATGGAGTGGGTGGAAGGACTCGCTGTGCCATGTGGAGCTGGCTAGCACTGTGAGAGATGAGGAGAGGAGCTACACAATAGCAGCACAGTGTGATGAAGAGGGATCACAACCACTTTCCAAAAAACACACAGTGTGGGTGTGCCTGTTGCCCTGCAGCCGGGACTGTACCCACAGATCTTTCAGAGAACAAAAACAGTGGGAAATATGCAAACTGGCATACACTTAAAAGACAGAGGAGATAGGGGATGGGTCAGGCTAAGTGATGCTGGTATCTTCTCTCCCACTCAGTACATGCTTTTTCTTTCAGTAATGTAGACTGTTGTGACCTCTGTCAAAAGAAAATGATCAATAGTCAGTGGTAACAACATCTCTGTCTTGTGTCTTCCTTCTAAGGCAAAAGTGGGGTTTTTTTTATACCCTTTTTTGTTTTCTTAGAACTATTTCTTTCCACACAAAGTGGATTTATTCGTGAGTTGCTTTGGGCAAAAGCCAGAATGTAAATGTTTTGTCAGAATCATTTTCCCTTATAAGAGTGTAGACATCTGCCTCCTTTTCTCAAGTTACACAATAACGATCACTCCCAACAGACTGAAACCTGCACTGCAGACAAGTGGAATGATGTAAGAACTAAGGGACTACGTCCTGAGGGCTACATCTTTACAAGTAGTGAAGATGTATTCAAACCCATTCCCAATACCTAATTGACAGGATAGCTTTACCAGAAGTTCTTGTATTCCAAAAGAAATCTTCAGGGATTTCCCAATTTACAGGCACAAATATTATGAATCAACTAAGAAGAAGAATATAGAGTTCTTTCGCATATCAGACATTGTCACATAGAACAGCTAGGAACGTTTTGTGTTTATATTATGTGTGTGGGCTCACTGACCCTAAATGAACCAGAGCCATTTATAAAGCTATAAGTTACAACTAAGCGTTTCCTGATAGGGTGTAATCACACATGTAAGCCACACCGGTTGAGTTTAGAGAGTTGATATAAGGTCATCCTGAATATAGGAGCGAAGGTCATTGCTATTGCCAAATATGTACTTTTCACTTTTCACTTTTCAAGGCTGACACATTTGCACATCAGTTCACGAGCTAAAGATTAAACATTGCACTGAGGTTTTATTGGGAAGTTGTGTGCTCACAATAATGTAATAAAATATGATTTTAGCAAGAAAAAATTCCAAATGATTCTCCTCAAATGCAAATATTTGTTGGTTTTGTTTTTGTTTTCAAAGACAGTCAGTTGGATATTACGGGGTTTCTTGCTGTTGGTCAAATAACGCAATCAATATGCATATGTCTACATCCTCTCTGGGGAACTATAATGGACACCTTTCCCAGGAGCAAATGACTAGGAAACAATAGGCAGATATCAGTCATGAAAATAACCTACACTTTCACAAAAATACATGTCATGAGTCTTCTGGCAAATAGAGAGTGATTTCAGACAGTGCTTGGATTTCACTTCCTCTAAGGGACAATGGAGAGATGTCTGATCAGATCAGGAAAGCCAACACTTGAATATGCTAAAAGAGAAATCAGACCCACTGACCAGACGAGACTTGGTCCCAAGGGGACAAGCCACACAGGCATGAGGGAATTCACCCTGTCACATGCAGCAATAGACCAAGTGTAGGACCTAAAGCAAACTGTGATGTTTGTGTGACAGTCAGACCCGATTATCCCGGCTTTGATTTAAGGAATGTAGCGTAATGAAAAACCGTATGACTATCACTGTGAGGGCTTCATTGGGATATCAAATACAAGCATGGCTGTCAAATTGTTGCTGTCAGTTTAACACAAAAGAATTGTCTGTCAAAGCTCCATATAAGGAAGAAGGCCTGGAGGTTGAGTGGGTGTTCAGAACAAACTATACGTAGGCATGGTGAAGGCAAGAGACAGAGTGAGATAGCAGCGTGATGGTGGGGAAAAAACAATCACTAGTTGTTCTTAAATGTTCATCCTCCCTCCCACTCCACATTCTCCAGTCTACAGTGTGGGCTGCTCTCGCTGTTTGTGCAGGGGAGTTCTACACCAGCTGAATGCAGGGGATTTCTGAACATATGCAGTCAGCATCAAAAGGAGGCCAATCAGAATCACCTAGACTTGGCTGAATTGTTTTTAACCATTTACCTAAAGCGGAGGGTAAAACATATCAAGTATTCACACACATTCTGGGGAATCCCATTTTCACCCAGTTCTCTGTTGGTCTATCTTACATCACTCAGATGAGTCATTGCTAACCTCATAACATAACAAAACACAAGGGAAAAACCTCAAATGCAATACATGCTACATTAAAATAATTGAAACTTACCAACACAGGCATTGAGGAAGAGCCAATCAGTCCTTCTCATCCGGTTCTTAATCTGCTTCAGTTTTTTAAAATCCACCTCCAGTTCCTCTTTAATCCCAATCCCAGCTCCTGATGCCACTTCAATCCTCTGAAAGTCCATGTTCACCTCTGACTCCGTTTTTGAGGTCGGAGGTGACCTTCTTTGGCTGCTGCTACAACCCACTACCCCCCCTAGCACGCCCACTACTCCTTGCCCGACCACATGCCCAATGACACCCCTCCTGTTGTCCCTTTCCTGTTCATTACGTTTTGAGGAAGGTTGGTGAATCTCAGGCTCTGATGCTAGCTCAATGGGTTCAGCCAGCATACTATTTGGCCTGGGGTGATCACACACCACACACTTAAGTGCCTTGGCCCAGTTCTCATAAGTGCAGGCGGTGCAGGTCCAGTGTTGTGCATGAGTGTTGAGCCTGTTGCGGTCATTATATTCCTCACAGGGGTCTGTAATGGTGGCTGAGGGAGCAGGGCGGCATCCGGAGCCTGAGCTCTGGGGTGATTCTGTGGGGCTGCGAGGGTGCTGGGTGATATGTCCCTGGTGGGCTCTGTGCTGCCCATGCTTTTGGTGTTGAGCGTGTTGCCTCTGGCACAGGCACTGGGTGCAGCGGATGGCCCGAGGCCAGTTCAAGTAGGTGCACATGTGGCATGACCACTTGCTACTAGTCTCAGGTACATCAGCAATGCGAACGCGGGGTCGGGCACTGGAGTCTGGGCAAATAAGTAGGCTGGATCCCCCCTGGGTTGGGCTGTTGCTGAGGCCTGCAGGGTCCCACTGGTGCAGACTGGCATCCAGAGGGGGGCCGCTCTTGAAGGGCTCCTCAGTGATGATAGCACCCACGCTAGGCCTCTGAGCGCGGCACATGGTGCACTTGATGGCTGACGGCCAGTTCTCGTATGTACAGTATTCACAGGGCCACTTGGCAACCAGCTCGGTCATCGTCGCACCGACGCTGAAGGAGGCTTCCTGCCGGTCAGAGGGATCCTCAGCTCGGCAGACACACTCTTAAGGAGATCACACAGCAAGCAGTACACTAGGGTACAAAGAAGGAAAAAATAAGGGTATTTTGGTGAAAAACACTTAGATGGAATGCCAAATAAACATTCAACTACAATACATAATGAAAATGTTTCTGCATTCAAACTGGCAAATATGGAGCTCAGCTTTCCAATGGTAAATCTCACAGATAATGCACTATTTAAAAAAACAAAACATCATGCTTTATTACAACCACCTGTGGCACTCAGGCCTTTGGGTAACTTACTGACAAACACATGCAAACATCTACAGTGCTGTTTGCTCTGGCACTAATTTGCTGCAGAAATCCAAGGGAGCAATGTTTAGAAACCCTGAAAGCAAAGTGCCAGGACGGAGCCGGATGGCAACAGTGAATCTGCGCAGCTGCATTAAAACCTGGCACCGGCTTTAAACACATACTGTAAGTTATACACACCAGGCAAATGTGCCCTACAACCGAGCTGGGTAACAAGAGACAAGGACATATGAAACCAGACACCCAGCAGGGAGGCGCGTGACTGGTTAAGACACTTACTGATGCACTGGAATTGAATTCGCCCCAAAGCCCTTTACCCACATATGAAAGTGAATGATCCAAACCACAGGTGTTACAATGTGAACATTATTTACTAGACAAAGGCTAATAAGCTAAAGTTAACTCGCTGGGGAAGCTCACAGAAGAGTTGGCTCTGATTGTGTTTATACCACGCCTCCAAGTTTACCAACACACTGTGAGGTATTCAGCACATTCAGAGACGCGATTCCTCCGGAGCTGCACGTTTTGTAGGCAAAGATCACACAATAACAATGGGAACCTTGCCTTGAAGGTAAAGTAGTCACGTTCAACCTGTTTACTCGTGACTAGCAACTAGTTTCGTGCATACAATTCATACATTCGCCAGAAATAAACAAATACACTGAAATGAGCAGTCGACTAGTGTCATTTGTGCTATTTTACAGAGGAGGTACAAGAAGTACTCAGTTCTTGTAGGATTACTATGTTACAAGTAAATGTCCTACATTCAAACCGTCGCTCCTGACTCTATAACAAGTGTTTACAGACCAACGGCGCGAGCTAGCTGTTTTGTTATTTTACATGACAACTCGGTGGTTCGGGTTGCCAGCTAGGAATTATAGCCAAACTAGAAGCTACCATTACGGGATTATGTGTTGCCCCTGTCTGACTGTACCAGTTGGAGGGAGGCCCTTATCAAGTCTACAAGAAGATCGCGTAATCACTTACCTTTGCTTTGCTATGTTTACACTCCTCAGTTTCCCACTGCAGCCAAAACAAATGGAGCTTCCGCGAGCCCCCTCGCCCCCCCAACGGCAGAGAAACCCACTCCAATCCGGACTCGGGCTCCTCTCACTTGGACGACACTAACCGCATATTTACTTATTTGGGCGCCGTTTAGTTGGCAGTTAAAGGTCCATACACACCGCGGAGCAACAAACCCCCCCTAGTCCCGTCCCCTCGCTCGGTTGTTTTGACGCTTTAAATCATCTTCATGCTTCTCCCGACTCCCAAACACGAAGCTGACGGGCTTTAATGGCGGCACAGGGGAAGGGAAGCAACCGAGGCAGAGCTAAAAAATACACTACGAGGGAGAGCACAGAGCTCTGGGCCGTGTTACAGTCAGGGGCAGGATCAGGATTTACCACCTGAATCTGCCAACCAATATGATTGGTTGTTTTTTGTGTATCCCTTGACACTGACCAATCAGATTCTACGTATCTCATTCCAACTGTTAAAAGGCTCAGTGAAAGCAAAACAGGCTCGAATGTCATAGTAATACCAGCGACAAAATTCAGTTTACATGTTACCTTTTTTATGCTATGAGTCTAGTTACTTATAGTAAAACATGTTATTTTTAATTCGTGCATCGTAATTTGCTGCATCTTTTGCCAAGCAACCACGTGGTATCATCTCAAAGGGGATAACAGGATGATGTCATCGTAAAAAATACTGCAGCAAGCAGTCTGCAGTAATGCATGACAGCTTGTGCAACAGTTCCAAGCGCTCAATTGTTGTTGTTATTGACGGACATCTACACTACCCGAGGACAAACATTGATGTGCACCATAATTCTTACTTGGCATTTGTTCACCTGCGAAAATGCATGCATGCAACTCTAGTTTACAGGAAAGCCCTTCCCACTTCAAGGTGATGTCATTGAAACAAACACCAGTATATTTTGCGCATAGAAATACACATCCCAAACAAATATTGGAGATGTGGTTTTGCAAGACTTTGGAAGAAGCTACTATCTGTTTTTAACCATTTAAGGCTCTTTCATAAAATAACCCTTATGAAGTATCTTAAACCAGCAAAAAAACATTCAAAATAAGAAAATAAATGTAGCCATACAAGTTTAAAAAAAAAAATGATTTGCACATTAAAAGTACTCAACTTACAACGATAAGAAAACGAAGGCACATCATATCACATATGTATGTCTTATTTATTATCTCCCAGTTTAAGAACAATATTATCTTTGCTCGTCCAAGCAAGTCCTTGGTCTACTTTAGTCAAGTACACACATCCAGATAAAAGAGAGAAGTTCGTAGCTGTGCACTGGACTTTGCGCTCTCAGGGAGGTGTTGATGTTGCAACGGCCCACTCAGGGAAGGGTCACCCCATACAGTGAGAGTACATAAGTGTATATTTGTACTATGTTGGAACTTGAAAGGTAGGATAGAAACAATGTTAGTCCTTATGCTTCATTCCAGGAGCCCTCAGCACCAGAGCCTTGCTGTTTTATATTCTGGCCATCAAGTCAGGATTATACCTGGGGATGCCAGAAAGAGAGACTTAAAAAGCAATCATCTAGGTACTAAGGACAAGGATTAAGATCGAGGACCAACATTGAGAATTGCTTATCTATACCACCACAACAATCAACTTAGACAAGCTTTTACAGTAAGTGCCTTTTAAATGCTACCCCTCCCCACTTGTCTACTATACATTCATTATGTATTTCCTTAGTATATTCTACTACTCAAAGGAAACCATATTCCTAACAAATTTATTTTGTCATTTAATTTAACATTGTGTGATTGCGTTACTCTGGGTGATTATAAAGTAACATTTTGAGTGCCAGTTCCCGAGTTATGCATTGGCATTACACATCAGGGCAAATTAGGCAAAACACAAACAAACATTCCATACAAACAGGCCATGTAAATAAAGTGGAGCTTGTTCACAAGGCAGCGCTTCTCCCACCACCAAATGTCTTCATTTAAGTGCAACCTGCTGATCATTATGTAAGACGTTCTCCATGTGCAGTGCAAATATCTGTCCATGCTGATCAAAACGGTGTCCATCTACCAATTCATGCAAGAGGAATTCACCCAGCACCCTATCAATCGAAACCTTGTTTATCCGTTGTCTTCAATGGTATAGATGTATACAAAAAAAAAAGTAATCTGCATGTCAGTCATGCTCACCATACCAAATATCAGTTATTCATCAGATTGCCACTGACTTTACATTAGAATTCCAGTTGAAAAATAATAGAGCAAGCAAATTCACAGTTGCAAACAAGAGCTGCAGATCCATTTAGAAAGTTGTCTGTTTAAGTATTAAAAAAGGGAAAACAGCTTTAGTAAGCAGTGAGGTGTTGTTTCAGCTAGAGAAAACATCACATGATGGAAAGTCAACAAAAAAAAGCTGGACATCAACAACACATTTGTTATAATTTAACCCCTCAAGAGAGATCTGTGAATGTGTACCGTGTGCAGATAGAAACTGCCCTGAGTGGAAGGCACTGTATATTGAAGCAAGGTCCCATCACATTATCCAGGTCCATACACGTAACATTGACCCAACCAGGTCCGAATGCATGAGGTCTGCTGTCGACTATGCCGAGACAAGAAGGTGATCGCTCGTTGTTCACAAGGTTACAATTCACACACTACAGGGGGTGACAGCCTTCCATTATGACTTTAATAGAAAACAAGTCAGTGAGAAGTGAGCTTGAATAGGTTATATGTTCATGGTCAGTAGTATTTGAGACTAACAGCACTGTGAAGTGGAAGTAGCAGCCAGGGTTTTACGTGAAAAAGAAAACAGACAGATGCAGTTTTTTAGTGGTAGCTCTCTGTGTTGCAGCAGCAGGAGGGAACCTTAAGCATCTGGTTAGTAAAGCTACAGTACATCGTGTTGCCCTGGGAGCCTCGTACAACACACAAAAGCCGAGCCGAGTTTGGCTCAAGGTGCTCGAAGAGGACTACTCAAGTGGCACAACATGACAGCATTGGTATAGCACAATAATAAAAAGAAATCTTACATTTTGTTAAGTGCAGCAAAGCGCATAAAATTTCAGTGTAAACCAAAAAGGAACAAGACATTGACATTGTTGTCAAACAAATTAGATTAATTATTAATCTGACAAAAAAATATAATTATATATAATTATGTATATATAAAGCACCCATTTAAAAAGTGGCAAAGTAAATTTTGTATGATTAATTAGAGACTGTGGAACATACAAATGAAAAACTAATAAGTTGAAAATCCAAACGTGATACATTTGCATTTCAAGGAGTTCTAGTTACATAATTTAAATCTCTTTTTCAAATCAAACATAAAAAGTTAACCATTGTTTACCTACTTAAAAACAATTTTTGGAAGTGTGCATAATGTTCTCCTTTTGTTTTTCTTCGATCGTTAGTTAAAAAGAAGGCAAACAAATAGTGCAAGAGGTAATGCAAAAGTGGGTGCTTAGAATTGGTGAAGCAAATGTGAAACAAAAGATACAGAAAGCATGGAGCATTTAGAGAGCCAAAACATCCGCACTGAAGTACCTAAACCGACCCTATTTCAGACAGACATCTTTTCCCCCAGTGAGACACGCCTGTTAAGCCTGCAAAGCATAACAAAGTTTCCCCTTAAAATGGAGATAAGACTAAGACAAGAAACACTCGCAGAGGGACACCACCTGTGCATGCCTTTCACTTTCAGGACTGGCACTACTTTTTGTCTATATTTGTCTATCTTTGATTGCTTGAGATGCCCTCCTATCAAGGTGCGTCACTTAATTGTGTCCTGTACACACACTGTGGCATGGTTCTATGTTGTCTGTGAGCCGCGAGCGTCCCCGTCCGGACCGAGGGCAGCCGGCCGGCCTTGTGTTAAAACGCTGCCAGAGGCTATTGGCAGATGAGCAGCTTCACTCACTAAGTTCTCATATTCGCTACTGTCCTCATCTTCGTCATCATCCTCCTCGTCATCTTCCTGCCCCGCAGCTTGTCTGTCTAACGAGTCAGAGCTCGACCCGTCACCATTGCCAAGGTACGGGGTGCTGGGGGTGGCGACAGGCTTAGAGCTGGCACCGAGCCCCAGGCCCAACCCGAGGCCCATCCCCAGCGGGCCGGGGGGGGGGTGTCCCGGGGAGCCCACAGCTTGAGGTCGGGGCAGCAGAGCAGCGCTGGTGGGTGGGGAAGAGGAGGAGAGCAGAGAGTCATCCTGGGACAAGAGGTCAGTGTAAGATGGAGGGTTGGGTGAGGTAATGGGCCGCTCCGGAGCAGAGGGGGTGGGAAACGTTATCCTGGAGAGAGAGGAAGCTTCAGAGAGTTCTGTGTTCTCCTCTGGAGTGGGATGGGAGTCTGTGTTTTGGGCCTCCCGCAGCCCTGTGGAACAGAGAGAAAGTTATAACTGGTGAAGAAGGTAAAGCATTTAGCTATTTTGCAAAATGTTAGCTTTAAAAACTGAGGAAATGAAGTTGGCTGGTTGGCTTAACAAAAAGATGTTTGAAAAAGGCCCGGGGGAAAGGCATGGACTCAGGAGTGTAATATATTTTGTTTTATGATCTAAGGAAAGTTAATGTTTCAAACCATATTACATTTAATTACACCATTACACTTTTTAGAATCAGGCACGTACTTCTCTCCTCTTCTGTTGCCTTGTGTTTCCTGAGAGCAATTTGTTGTTTGAGTTTGTTCACATCCTCTTGAATTTTCTCCTTCACACGTTCACTTTCTTCTACCTCCCCACACACGGCCTGAAAACGAGACAAACAGGTGAAAAACTCACACAAAAAGGGAAAACAAAAAGGAATCTTGTCAGAAAACTATTTCACTACAAGCCAGCTCACCTGCACTTTGTCTTGTAGTGCACTGTAGACTTGGAATATTGTTCGGATGTCCTTCATCACACCATCTTTGTCAAAGAATTCAGCCCTGGAATGATATTAACCAACATTCACATCCATTATATTATTCAAGACATACTTCTTCACATCACACAGAACAAGCTCATCCAGTTTGTTCTTTTATATTAAACATTTCAAAGGCATAAGAGCAGTTAAGGTGTGTATTGGTAAATGTGTTCATTTATTTTATATCACAGACAAACGCCACAGGCTGTCATATAAATCATAAACTCAAAGGGCTGTGGTTTAAATAAAGTGATCTAAACTCCCAGCAGTTTAGATCACTGACACACAGAATGTTGCTCTCTATGACACACAGAATGGGTCTAAGTTTAGACACAGATATATAAGCAGACGGGTGCACTCACATAACAGCTTCCCCCCGCAGGCAGTCACCCACCAACGTATGCTGATACCACTAACAAACAGTGGCAAGACTAAACAACAACATGAGCAACCTAAAAATGGGAGTGAGCATAGCAAAGAGAAAGCTGAGAAACCCTACCCGTGCTCTTTGATGACCTGCGTGTAGTTGAGTGAGGTGTTGGGCACTGAGGAGACTTTGTACTCCTGCTGGCTCGTGTTGCCAAGGTTTGGGATTGAGAGGGTTATCCTCTGGTTAAACCTACTGAGGAAAGATGACCAGTTAGCACTATTAAAAACATACTTTTTAAGGAAATTAAGAGTATAAACATACTATTATGACAACAAAATAATTGTAACCCAAAATTAGCATTTTTTATTTAGTTAGAAGGATTCTGACTTATGAGGTCACGCATCACTTTTACATGATGTTATGTAATAATAATAATAATAATAATAATAATAACAACACATTACATTTATAAAGAGCTTTTCCTGGTGCTCAAAGCGCTTACAAGCAAGTAAAACAAAAATAACAACAAAAGTAGAAAGTGCTAAGCTAGGAGGAATAAGGGCAAGGGGTTAGTTGATTAGGAGTTGAAGGCAAGAGTAAAAAGGTGAGTTTTGAGGGATTGTTTATATATATATATGAGTAAGGGGCCTGAATGACTTTTGAATTTTATAACATTGATGAAGAAACTTCTTGTATAATTGTGTCCAGAAACCGGATCTTGGATTTAGAATAAAGAGACAAGATGGGAACTACCTCTATGTTTGTCATTTACCATTGTTAGTCAATATGCAGTTCTTACTTGCGGCTAGGTCTGAAAAGCACATATTCTAGTGCGTGTGTGGAGCTGTTGGCGGTGGAGATGAAGCTGAACAGAAGGAAAACGAGGTCGGGCACACCAAGAAGCTCAGTCAGCTGTTTGTGGATGATCTGTTCCCTGAAAGACATCTGCTGCTGCGTGTTCCTCCGGAACCGGTACCAGCCAATGACGTTCTAGACAGCAGATAACAAAAAATCCTTAATGTGTGTAATTTAGTAACAATCCAACCCAATTTAGGATGAAGTCAAAACATATGTGGACTGAAACACATACAAATACATCATTAGGAACAAAACAAACACTAATAATAATGGAACCTTTAGATACATAACCATACAAATGTAATTTAAATAATCAGTGTCTTTTTTTCCCAACAATGTACGTTGAAATGACAATAAAAAAAATAAAAAAACATCACTCACTTTCCGCCTATCTTTAAGTATGCTGTTGAGATTTTCCTCATTGAGTTTGCCTGCGTAGTCATAAAAGCTGTTGAGAGGGAAGAAACAGATAAAGTAAGTTCAAACTGAATCACCGTGTTCCTACTCCTCATTTGCCTTGGCCAACTTCTTTACCCAATTTTGTCAGATGGGGCCATCTACTGTCCAATGTCAAATGCAACTTGTGCTGAAATGCATGCAGGGTAATTTATGTATGCATTTAAATTGTCTGTATGTGTATAATGACTTAAAACTAAGACGCCAGAATCTACTCAGCAAAAAGGCATTTTTATTGAGTGACAAAAACAATAATACATGCTCAGGTCTCAGGCTCTCTACATGCTTTAAACAACATCTATGGTAAGATGCCACGTTATCCTACATTGCCATATTGTGTTTGTTACAACAAAGATAATGTCAGATTTTCCTACATTAAATGATCATGACTAAAAATGTTGGCTGACCATTACTGTCTCCCTTAAGCTACTTCTGTTCTTCAAATTGCACACATCGGGCACATTTCACCATAACTGAGGATAATAGTAGCTGTTTGAAAATAGAAACTCACATCTTACCTAAATAACTGTGCACAAGGATCATGGTTATGGATTTCTGTTGGGATAAAAAACAGACAAAAAACCTGCCTTTAGGTCATATATGCAATATGTTAAAAAGATATTAGCCAAAATGTGGACAACTCTAATTAAAAAGCAGAGGACTAAAACAAAAGTTGGACAATAAGGCCACACAAACAGTACAACTGAGCTCACAAAGAAGGCAAGCTCTGACTGATTTACATTGGCTTGTTGTTTCAGTTGTTTTAGTTTGGTACAATACAAAATCATGTACAAAGCAGACTTTTATTCCAACCGCTTCAAATAATTTAGTAATCAGCAATGCATTTGCACACTTCTGTGAGTGAAGCAAAGGAATAAGTGCTCAGCAAAAAGCTGCTTATATGCAACTAATTACATTTCACATTCAGATCCATTGAGGCATGTTTTTTCCTGAGTGGACTGGAGTTTTAAGGGAGAAATTTGAGTAGCAGTGAAACCAAACAACCCACACAACTGGACAATGCATATTAACATAACAATGTACATGTCCATTATCTCAATTACTTTTAATATGTTGACATATTTTGGCACATTACAATCCAATACCGATTCCAGTGGATTTCCGATGACTAATTTCTCTCATTTTAAGTATCAAAATCAAAGTGAGTAAATGGCATTGATCAGTTGCTACTTATTGCTGAGATGTCACAACATTTTTGTTTTGTTTTCCTGTCTTGGGGCTTACCTACTACCTGGAGCAACTCTGCCGCGCTGATCTGTGCGTCAGTGATGCTGACAGTCTCTTCTTGCCTTACATCTCCTAATAGGAAGCCCTCCTGTGGTAATACAAAACTGGGGTTAGGGCACTAATGTAGACTTGAAACAATTATCCCATTAATCTGAAAACTGACTACAAGAAAACAAAAACAAGTGTTTTATCAAATGCCAAACTTATACTGGTTCTGAATTCTCATATGTGAGGATTTACTTTTTGTGATGAAAAAAGTAAAATCTTTAGGCTTAGCAGCTGTTGGTCAAACAAAACAAGCCCTTTGAAAACAAGGCATTGGAATCTGAGAAAGAGATATTTTAACCTTCTTGGGGGTACTGGGGCATACATATAGTATTTCAAGAAGCCAGATGGATTTGATGTTAACTCAATGGAGTGCATACACAACAACAACAAACGTATGAGAAGCACACAATTATAATTAAATCTTGTTGACAGAAGTTATTATAGTCTTTAACTGCAGGCAAACTAGTAGTCAGCAACTCTCCTATGTCGACTTTTAAAGTCTTGACAAGAGGCAACGGCATATTGACAGTTAAACGATAAACTACACAATATAAAAGAGAAATAAACATGTTCTTACGCATGCAATTCACATTGTTGGTCGGTATTGACATAAAATGAAACTGACATTAGCTAGGTTGGCTAAGAAGCCAATCGAGCAACACGGAAACGACAAAAACAATACAGTTTATTGTAGATTAGTTTTACAATTCACAGAGCTAACTTCACAGTGTAATGACATACTAAACTGATATCAGATGACAGGTCGAAGGTGACTGCAGACATTAGAAGCACCGGCACACGGAAGTCACTCGACTTGGTATCTTAGCCAACATGCTAAGTAGCTAACTACTGACTATTTCCTGGAACTCAAACTTTCCCAATACCGTTTCATCTACTGACAAAGCACGTAACGTTAATCGTGTGGATGTCTCATAATGTTATACCTACACATATCAAAGATGTGCAGGTATTCCACATGAGATCAACATTAAAATACTGTTACTGTCTTTATGTCACTGCAGCTACACAGTCTGATTTAACCACGCTTGCCGGTAAATAGACGCAACCAATACTAGCTAGCCAGCAACAGGATGATGACACTGGAAAACAACACTAACTAAAGGCTTTAATGAACGGTTAGCCACATCACTGAGCAACTCATACTCAAGCAACACTTCCTTAATATATTGTCAGCATAATTGTGAGTACTTACATGATCTGAGTTGCTGTTGGCGCTGTGATAACACACAGAACTAAAAGTATAACCTGAAATGGATGCCGCCATGATGGAAACATCCCTATCAATCCCAGCGCCCCCTGCGGTTGCAAGCAGGCTCCTCCAACGCAAAGTATTCTGGGAACTGTAGGCGACGAATGACAGTCTCCTCCTAACCAGCATGGAAGTCCGTGCTGAAAGCGTGGAACAGAAAAGTGGAAATGCCTCTGACCCAGGGGACGACAGATGTTCGGATAACGATTTTGGACCTTCAATACTCGGAACGAAAGAGTAGTAAGTTTTGTGATCAGTTACTAACGTTAACTAATGATGCTTGGTTAATCTCACCAGGCTTCACAGCTAGCGTTAGCATAGCTACAACATGCACAAACAGAGCTAGACGTGCAACATCTGGTGTCAAGAGCAAGTAGAACATTATATTATTTTAGCTATAAAACAAGCGCTGTTGACTGTCAGATGTGTAGTTCCTGTTTTTTGGAGATTTAGAATTGTAATTGGGTTGTCCTTAAAAAGTAAGACAGGAGCTACAAAAACATTAGCATATTATACACTTATTTTAAGCTTTAAGCTAATCTACTTACGTTCATTGCACTACAGTTTGTCATTTTCCAAAATAGCAACGTGCATGTGAATAGTATGTGATTAACTGATTGTCAACTTCTGTCCTTTTCCTGCAGTTGGGAAGAGGCATACCAAAGAGAACTTGAGACATTCACAGACATTGGAGATGTTGGTGAAATATGGTAATCCTATACGCAGGATCAAATGCTGGCATGGTAATTTCTCACAAGAAAGCCAACTTTTCTACTTGTGTTGACAGTACATGCAAAAGTGACATGCAAAATGTGAATATGCATAGTAAGAGCTGTGCTGAATGCATTATTTTTGGTTTCTGACAATAGCCTATGTCTTCACTAATTTCTTTGGGTTTCCTTTTTTTAAGGTTTGGTGAGGAGAGCATGAGCCGTGTGCTGCGTTGGATGGACAAAGCTAAGATTCCAGAAGATGCTTCCGTTCTTGACATTGGCACAGGAAATGGAGCCTTTTTAGTTGAACTGGTGTGAACAGAGTACACATTGTTTTATGTTTTTTATTTCATGGGCAGTTAAGTGTTGTTAAAGGGTCAGGTCACCACAACCCCCCTAAAATATCAAGAACGAGGTTTGCTTTTATATAAAGAAGTCTATATATAACGTGGGAACACAATTCCAGTGATAACTGTTGCTAATGTAGCTTTTCAGATCATCGTTACTCCATCGTTGTGTAGTAAAATGATTCTGCAAAAATGATAGCATACAGTTCAAATAATACATATTATCATGAGACAATTAGGTGATCTTAACCTTTAATATATAGTTTGTATATGATAGCTAGTTTTACTGTAATGACCTCCTTATCAAACTACTTTATATTTTTCTATAACAGTTGATTAGCATAGTTTAATTGCTGTGTTTTTTTTTTTTTTCATGTCAAGGCCAAACAAGGATACAGCAATCTGACCGGTATAGATTATTCTCCAGCGTCTGTAGAATTGTCCAGAAATGTTCTGAAGGCAGAGGATTTGACAGATGTCCCTGTAAAGGTGGGTGTATAACAACACTTTTGGCTGCGACAAATTGATACAGTCTTCACAAGAAAATGTAAAGGATTTGTGGGTGATAAAATATGGCTGTACTTTTTCCACTGGAGCATTCACGCTACGTCAGACTATTATAATTTTCCACGTGTGTTTATGTACTGTTACAAGCTGGCTCCGTTTGTAACAAAAGGAAAGAATATCCAAACAAAAGTTGCCCAAAACAATCATTTATACCAAACTGGTCACAACTAAACAAACTGAGGAGTGCTGGCCTGGTGCACAGGGCAGGGCAGCCGAGAGAGAGCGAAAGCCTGTTCTGCAGCCCTCTTAAATCCTCTGGAACCAGGTGCCACAGGTGGGTCTCATCTCTCCTGATTACAGGACCTGACTCCGCCTCCAGACTCTCTGAAAGGAAAAACCCAGGTTACAACAGCACCATACACTGGACAACCACAGGGTTGTCACAGTACTCACAAGTTAAAGTGCCTAGCAACCCTGACGATGATATTTACACTTTTAAATAGATTATTGTTATGCTATGTATGTATATATACTGTAGTACTTGGTAAACGGCATGAATAACCATTTTCCGCTAAATTTAAATTCACTCAATGTAAGTGCTGCAACGAAAGATCGTAGTGTATCTGGTGGATGTTATACCATGCACAAACCACTCATTGATACAAAATGATTTCCCACTATTCCCAAATGCCAAAGATACAATATAGCCTTCAGCATAGCATGTGGCGGCCTGGGAAGGTTAGAGGAAACTATCCTGTGTTTACTATGTGGGAGAGTTGGATAGGAAGAAGTCCCTGGATGCGATGGAAGTCTGCCCACCATTCAGAATAAACCACCAGAAATGAATTGGCAGGATTTCACACATCTTTCTAACATATATATGCAAGAAAAACAAGGTAAAAATGCAGGTCGGTCTATAAGGGCTATGATGAGTGAGTTTTCCTCTCCTATGTGCATAATAAAGATGAATATATATGTTATGCATCACGCACCTATGACTGTGTGCTTTGCTTGGACAGAAAGGCTTCTTCTGAAGTCAATATTGACCTTAGCTGGACAGAGGCAGCACAGAAGTTGTGTGTGTTAGAGAGATGATATGTTGGTATTTCTTTAATGCTGCAGCATGGCAAAAATAATGTGTATGTGTTATTGTGCATGAACGGAGTCAAGAGTTGCAGCCACATGATCCTTTGACAGGTCTTACTTCAAAGGTCATTCTTTGTTTCAAATCTATGTCAAGCCATTCCTCCATTTACATAATTCTCCACCTTCTGCTCCTTTGACACATGCATTCCTTCATTCCTTCAACACATTCACAGTTTTCCATTTTACAGCCTCACACTCAAATTGAACTCGCACTTTGCAACAATACATAAGCATTTCTGTCTCTAGTGAATAACTGTTGATCGTCTTTCATAAATCACACATTTTGTGACCCATGGTTAGTGAGAATGTGGCTCTTAAACTCACCCTGGGGATCTGGTGCTCTGTCCTCTGTGCAGATAAAGGACTCCTTTCACTGGTGGTATGGTGGGTCAGGAACCTCCACTGAATTAACTGCTGTCATGTCAGCAGTTGGAATTTACTTTTAAAGGTGGGGTAGGTAAGTTTGAGAAACCGGCTCGAGATACACTTTTTGTTATATTCCATGGAATGCTCCTAACATCCCGATAGCAATGAATATCTTAAAGGCTTTGACAAAAAATTCATAAAATAATTTCATCTGTGGAAGCCCTGGTACTGTAAAAAGCACGACCAATCATTTTAGCCGGCCCGGCTAAAATAACTGGATGGCCTACCTGCCTGCCAGCTTTCCATCTGTGCACAAACTGTAAGGAAGTTGCAGATTTTTTCCAGCTGTGTATTTTCAAATTCTAGCGCACTCGAGCTGGTTTCTCCAAAATTACCTACCCCACCTTTAAAGTTGACCAGTGAGGTATCACACATTGCATATTATTTACCCTACACATAAAGAATAACGTTTAGGGTGTTCTTTCTATGATTGATCAACAGGTATACTTTTTCTTAATTTCTCACTTTGTACTCTGTATTTTAGGAGATGGATTTCTTAAACTGCCAAGGGGAGCTAAAGGGTTTTGATGTCTGCATTGACAAAGGAACATTCGATGCAATAAGCTTAAACCCGGACGACTCCACAGACGGCAAAAAACTCTATGTCCAAACTCTAAAAGATGCTGTCAAGGACAAAGGATTCTTCGTTATCACTTCCTGTAACTGGACCAAGGAGCAGCTGCTAGAGCGATTTAGTGAAGGTGAGTGGTAAATGGCTGATCATTTTTCGTTACATTATGTTAAATGTTGTTAATTAATTTATGAGAGGCGCTTAGGATTTTTGTAATCACATAATGCACTTCTCTAACAGTCATAAAAGGCACTGCCTCTCCAAAAAACCAACCCAATTACAGAGGTCATTTACTGTAAACGTGATCCTTTTAATCAGACGTTTTAAAAAATCTAAATCACTAGTTCAAATCCTTCCTGATGCAGTTTTGGTTCAGCCTTGGCATTGCTCAAGCAGTTTCTAGTTCATTATTTTCTGTCTACCTGCAGCATTTTAATCGTCTGTTTTATTCTGTCTCTTAGTGTCAGCTACTGTTGTTCAAAAGGGACACCCACTTTGGCTAGCAATTGAAGCAATGAAGGAGCTTTGGGTCAGAATCAGAGAAAAAACGGTCCCATGTTAGACAATAGCTAAGTGGACTTTTCGTTGATGCAAGGAGCCTGTAAATATGTGTACAAATGTACCCTGGTTTATGCTGTTCTGGCCAACATTGCCTTTAGTTAAGAGGTAAGGGATATTTAAAAAACAACACACAAACATAGCCCCTCCTTTTGGAAATTTTACATAGAAGTGCATTCTTGTGCTACAGTACAATCTCGATAGCTACTTGATAACATGCCAAGATATGCAGCAATATACCAACCAAGCATGGAAAAAAGATTAGCTAGCAAACACGGCTATAAACAAACCTTGATTTGAAATACTTTCAAAAAACTTTGCCAATATTTTAAAGGAAGAAAATACTTTCTGTTTGAGCTCAAGAATACACCCAATGTGTTTTGTTGAGTAACACCAAATTGATATAACTTTTTTTTGTTTACAAGAAATCTCCACAGGGCACCTTTTTAATTGGATATGTGCCGTGTTGTATATCGGTTGAATAAAAAGGGAAAACGTTTTGTCTGACCCGCAGACACAGTTAAACAGCTGCTCCAGTTACCTGGCAGGTTGTTAAGCTGCAGGCAACAACAGCCTTGTAAAGTCAGAATTTGGGCAAGCTTCCATTAGCTGTCACTCCTCTCAGTGTAGTCACTCCAGAGAGCCTGCAGGGGGCCAAAGGGCCTTGAAATCTCATCCGTCACACTGACAGGCTGTCTTTACAGGGTCCCAGGAAGTACCACAGATGGTGAATAGATAGTTATTGACTCCCAGTTCTTCTTCTAACCCCGCTGTAGCCCTAGTCAACAAGAAAATGTTGCTGTTCCGGTAGTTTGCATTTCTTAAACTGCACATTTTCTCTCTGTTTCCTCACAGGATTTGAGTATGTACAAGAGTTGCCTACACCTAGTTTTCAATTTGGAGGAAAGACTGGCAACAGTGTGACAGCACTCATCTTCAAGAGAGTACATTGATTCACAAGTCCCCGGAGGATATTTTATTATGCCATCTATTCTGCAGGTTTTCTGTCAATCATAGGAAATCGTTCTACATTTTGCAGACTTTTTATGCCATACCTCCTTCATTTTTGATAAACAATGTGTTATGTAGCAGATGTACAATGTAACTTAGTGGGACATTTTTCTTTAAATAAATATTTTTTGTTTTGTTGCTGCCTTCTTCTTGCATTCATTACATTGCATTTAGCTGACGCTTTTATCCAAAGCGACTTACAATAAGTGCATTCGACCAACAAGATACAAACTTGAAGAAAACAGAATCATAGAAGTGCATCAGGTTTCATAGAGCTAAAACATTTCAAGTGCTACTCAACTGGCTTTAGATAAGCCAGCCCTTTATTAGTATGTAAGTGCTCTGTTAGCAATTCTTTGTTAGTAATTCTATCGCTCGAAGTGGAGTCGAAAGAGATGGGATTCATCCTCAGAACTTAAGGAACCGGTTCAATATATTCATTTAATTCGTTTTACAGTTTCACAGTTAATGTTCTTGCTTTCAAGAACTCCTTACCCTCTCAGATGACACTTATTTGACTGTAATATTACTTTCCAGAGGCTAACTGTAGTCCTATTTCAGCCATAATATTATTCAGTCTTTTGTTTGTTGGATATGTTACCCCTAGAGGAAAACATCTATTTTGTTTTCATTTTACAGAAGAGAAACTAGATACAAAATAATATGTACGGATCATTTATTCCTTATTCAATAAAACATCTGATAGCCCCTCAAATTACTTTGGAAGGAACATGTTGGGAGGACTGACCCACTGTTGTCTGTTACCAGGTAGTTAATTGCATCCATCTTTCATGTCATGTGAAAAATTACCCATACAACAATGGTTAAACTAGAAACCAGCAGAGCTTGGGGTCCTGAGGACCATGATTAAAAACATCTGACCTAAAGAATAAACAAGAGGCCAATCTTTGTGGAAGAGAAGCCTGTCTGCCATTTCCTTTCTCTATGGTGTCATTAATATCTGTCAAACTCAGGATCCTAATTGCAAGCTGTGCCAGTGGTCCAATGGGAGCTGTGGATGTTGAGTAAACACAAGCAAGCTTTACAAGAATTACTGCCTGGAATTTTACAAGGCCCTGGATATCCTGCCTGTATGTGCATATCATGCCCACATTCACAACTCACAGAGATGTTCCCATGAATTTAAACCTCCATTCAATATGTTGTCCTTTAGCTTTATCAAAGTTCACTATAATTAAAAACAATTCATCTCGTTCGGCTGATCTTTGAGTGTTTTTATTGTATTATTAGTTATTAAATGAACTGAAGTTACCTTGGTAAATGCACTGCTGCCTGCTCAGTTTCCTTGAACAGTTGCTGTTGTTAAGAAATAGACTACACCACAATCCTGTTGGCCTTTGTAAAGTCATCCGTTTTTTGAGCAGTTTTCAAATACAATAAACAGGTTGGTTCAGTGCCATATGTAGTGGCAAAACTTTACAAGTAGGGGGGTCCTCAGACCAAATCCTGCTCAGGACCCCCAGGCATGGCCCTGACTGAGACACGCTGTGCACTGTAGATTTATTCAGGAAGTCAAACTGGCTTTCTTACAAAATGGGCTTATTTGAATTAAAGGGGACATTGGAACTATTTAATCTTTACAAATATTTTATTACCATTCAACATAAAACTAAATAAAACGGTGGATCTTGCTGGGTTGCACTGAGCTGTTACCACCGTCAGCACTTATGGCTTTTGGGTTGGCATAAATGTGAAGCTACACTTTTATTCCACTCATAATATCAACCTATGGTTTCAGACGTGATGCCATAGCCCACTGGCTGCCCTCCCAGCGTGAATACCATGCTTTCATTTTAACCTCTCAAGTGTGTACTGCAAATATTGATGTTTTTTCTCTCCCATCTCCCTGGAAACATGTTTGAAGTCTTTCTAATAGGATTTTACTTGGATTGATTGAATTACCCGACCATGTAGCAGTTAAGTTTTCCATCACAGGAGTGCCAAAGTGGAAGTGGGAAAATTCCTCTTTCAAGGGATTTCCAACCTTTGCACACTGCCTTTTTGAGTAAGGACTAGCTTGACTTGGTAACAGCATGATATATTATACACAAGGAGTTAAAACACATTTTTGTTAATCGGTTTTACTTTTTCGTCACATATCTGGGTCATTGTTTTAGTTTGTTTTACGACTACAACAGGGACGGGAAGAACCACGAGGCATGATAGGATCTTGTGTGTGCTTGGTTAATTCGTGTAAATGTAGTTGTCTTTGTAATACTGGAATGTCATCGCCTATTTGCTTCAATAACATCAATGAAAAGCATAATACAAAGTAGCACATGAGTATTGTAAATGCCTGAGGGAGAACCACAGTGGAATATACCAACTCGGGAAAGGTGGGGTTGTTTGTTTAGAATAAAGTTTTGAGATGTTCGTTCAAACGCACTTGAACAGTTTGTTGTGTTCAGTTAATGTAAGTATTACTTAGGGAAGATTTTAATGTAGAGTAACATAGTACTCTCGGTGCTGAACAGGTTTCTGAGTCGGTCACCGTTCCTCCTGCCTCCCCCGTCCACATGGTTTCTCTGTACGCGGATATTGTTACAATGACTGCTGAAGGCTGAAAGAAGCAGCGAGCTCTCAGCTGCTCGCAGTCCGGTCAGTCCTGCGCTGGCGACGCTGAACTGTCGGCTGCAACTGCGAGAAACTTCTGGTGATTTTGCTCTCGCATTCCCTTTGTTGAAGATGAGCTAACTTTAAAACAGCCTCTGCTGGCCAGGTAGGATATTTGTTGGGATACATGATCGTTATAACTGTGTTGATGTGTGCATCATTATTTCCCTGCTGTGGAGTTTATAGGCTACTTTGTCTGCTCATGCTCATAGGTTACATTGGGGCATTCATCAGAAAACAGAAATGTCGTTTTTTGTTGAACAACTTATTATGGTGTTCAGCCCAAGTATCTGCTACCATTAAGCCAGAGTAGCCACAGAAATTTGCACTTTGTGCCATGTGGCACACTTCGAATATGTCACATTATGTCCAATGTTTTTATTACAAGTTTTTTTTACTAAATCAGCTATTGTAGAGTTTGGAAATCAAATTCCTTGCCCAGCCTGGCAAACCTGTTGCTTCATTAAAAGTTACTGCTTAATAACCTGCCGTAGAGGGAACTGCACACATTAACCAAGCTCTGTGGGCCAGCAAACTCCCCTCCATCTATCACTTATGGTAATAAAGCCCAGGCTGTTGTCACAGTACCTGTGTAGGTGGCGAGAGAGGCAGTGTGGGTGCCTTGCAGCTCATATTGACATACAGCTCCTCACCACAACCGGTAAGAAGAGATTGAGAGCAGCTTGAGGGCTTTGAGTCATAGGGCCTGGTTGCATATCTCTCACCAATCTCAACCACATACTTTTTTCCGTCTTGAGATGTGTAATTACTGATTGTCGTGCTTATATGAGCATAGTTTATACTTTTTCATGCTAAAGAGGTTTAAACTAGCTACTTTGTTTCTCATCAATCTGGTTTCTGTTCTCAGAGCAAAGTATAAAGCTGCATCCTTGGAGTCCAATCAAAATATACACTGTTTATAGTACATTTGTATGACTATTTGGGTTGTACACCCTGAGTTATTGTTATTACACATATATGAAACTAAAACTGAGTTTCCCCTAGTTTATAAATACTGATAAGATACTGATAAAAACATACACAATAAAGTGAATTGTCTTTTTATATCTATGGGTGGATGTATTGCTGGCTTTGTGTCTTTTGAACAGCACCGGTTCATTTAAGAACTTCTTTATTGCCTTCTAAGCACTTTGAATAAGAGCACTATTGATACAAGGCACTACTCTTGTTATGTGTCAGTGTTGTTTCCTTTCCTATGTGGGTTAGGAAGTAACTGTTGGTTTCTTTATGTTTTGCCCTCTCGAAAATTGCACGGCAGTTTGTTGATCTTTGTGGACACCATAAACACAATACCATGGAAAACTGGTTTGGTACCAGGGTTCCCTAATTGAAAAGACCTGGAAATGTTTCTTGCTGCCACCATGGCAGCGGTAGTCCTTGACTTGAGGGGATGGCTGGCTAAACAGGAAATGACTGTAGTTTTTCTCAAGAATCCTGCTCAGAAAATGCTAGAGTTCAGGTTGGAGGTGAAGTAGACTCGGTTTAAAGATTAATTCACATGTCAGCTCTAGTCACTAATTACAAAGGGAGTGTTGATAGATGCATGAGTACTGGATGAGGAGGCTTGTTCTGAATATTTTCTGATCTGCCTTTTTTGGGGAGATTATGGTAACCACACCTGGCTTTGATTTTAGAAGATTAACAACTGCTTGATTACAGCTTGGTGACCACAAACACATTTCATCTCTAAGTTTCTATCATATTAACCTGCAAATGTGTTCTTTGCTGTAGCTGTCAACAACGGCATACATATCTATTCCAATACGTATGTTTCATAAAGGTTTTTATCCTTGACAAATATAAATATCTGTTTACCCTTTTTTAATCTTAATTATAATCGCCAAAATCCAAACGCATTATCATTTAGTGTTTAATACGGCCACACAACAAACCAAAGCCCTTTGAATAAATGCATCTGATATATTCACACATACAACTATGTCAGATGAAAGTGCTTTTATGTAATGTAAGGCAGTGTTGTGGGAACATTCAGTCTTGTTCTATAGAGGTTTGATAACTTGTGCATTGTATGAAAAAAAAGTAACAAATTCTCATCACAGTTGCTGCTAATCACTTTTAGCTTTTGATGTTTTAAGTGAAGCACAACTTTATGCACTGCAATTGTACTCTTCGTCAAAAGGGCTTGCACTGTTGGTCTGTCGACTTGTTTTGGACAAACTATAGGCATAATTTATGGAAGCAATTAAGGCCAGTGGGTTTTTAAAGGAGATTGCTCTGCACTCCAGTGTGTGCTTAAGATGAGCACATTTGCAATGTCTTTGTGTTGCAGGCGAAAGGCCCTATTAGAGCTCCATTCTGTCTGTGGGCAGCTGTGTGCTGAGCGAGCCTCTGGTCCATTCTCCGTCTGTGTGTACGACTCCCTCAGTCCATACACACTCTGCCACTTTCTTTCTTTCTGACTTTCTGTAGATTTCAATCTCACTTTTTGCGTGTTTTTTCATCTTTCTGTTCAACTAATACTGTGGCTCTCTTTCTTTCACTTGTTCCCTGGCCCAAGGCATTATGCAAAGCTACCAGAAAAGGATTGTTAGCCTTGCCTCTCTGTGCTTCCATGCTACCCTCTATTCACTTCAGAAGCTTCCCTTTCTTTTCCGTGACCTGCGATCATAACTGCTTAAATTCATACCGCTTGGCTTCAGGGAGTTTAAAACAAATACTTTATTATTTCATGTTTTCACCATACTTGTCATCCCTCATTTTGTATATTCCTTCCTCATTAACATGATAGATTTGTAAGTCTGGCGTCTCAACGCCCACAGAGCCGAAGACCTGCAGCTGAAAAGAAAAGAAAAGAGGCATTCTCACATACACCAGAGAAGCACTCCCCAACCCCCAAAGACAGGCACCACACTCTAGTTAGAGATGAAAAGCATTCTGGGGTGCAATAGGAAGGCTCCCATCAACACACCCACTGTGGTTTTCCTATGTGGCTATGGTGAGAAATCAACTTTAACAAAAGAAGAAGTTTCCTCTGGTGTTGCGTTTTGACTCTAAATGAGACTTTATATCCCCAGGGTCTTGGTTTTATGAGCATCTCTGTTTATTTTCCTGTGCTGCTTTGGATTGGCTTTTCCATAAAATGTCAGATGTCACATAGCTCCTGGCTGAATCATGTTGTACGGAGATGGCATTGAAACAGTCTGAAACTATCCCTAAATTGAATCTCTAGAAAAAACGAGAACTGAAAGCTTCTGTTGGTGTTTGGCACAGACGGCCTGTATTTTTAGAACCTGTTTTCCAAACTTGTGGCAAACCCTACATGTCCTCCAAGTTGTAGGGCTTTTACAGTTAACTGCAATTTATTTTTCTCATACAAAGACAACTAATATGTAACATCCTTTGCGCTTTCTGTGCAAGCCTAGGCCTGAGAACAGAGTCAATGTGTCTTGACAATGCTGTTTTGTACAAAAACTCCTAATTATCATGCCGACATGTGTCATAACTCCCGGCTATCGGCCTCTGCGGTATATTTAAATTCTCAGTAGGTGTGTTTGAGTCTGTCTGCTTGTTTTACATACACCTGCAGGTCATAGCAAACAACTGCACAAGACTGAACACCAGCAAGATTTGCAACCAATTAGATTACTCGCTGCAGATCAGCTGATTCATAAAGTCACGAACTGGATGTAGGATGGTACTGTTGGGGATCTAAGTGGAGTATTAAGAGGGGTGCAATCCAATGTTAAATCTGTGAGTTATCTAGAAACATCTCACTCTTATTACAACTTATAGACTGGTTAAATAATTGGGTAGAGGTTGAAGCGGCAGTTATTTGATTCTTGTTTAGTGCAAAGTTTAGATAAAATCCCACATTCTGCCCTAGCTGTCTATGCAGTGAAAACACCACAAATGATACACTTTCAGTTGGCTTTCACATCTCATATCTATGCATCTGTTTTACCCTCTCTCTACACACACTATGCTTAGCAGTCAGAGGATCCATATGGTGAGCTGAGCCCCTCATGAATGAATGAATGGACCAGTGGAATGCTGCACAGTTTTCTTTTTCTCCCAGCCGTACGTACTCTAAACTCATATATCATACAGCTCCACATCGGGAACACTACGTAACGGCAATAATGTCACTTTATTCGTTGATTGGTAGTGACAATCTGTATAACATCACTTGCTTGCATAATATAGGAGTGGTCGCCCTTATAGAGCTGTGCAATTGCATGGGATTGCTAGAGGCTCCCATGTAATGTATCCCTGATGGATTAAGGCTCTGGTTAGTGTGTGCAGAACAGAACAGGCACTCATGGATAATGGAAGAAACCACAGGCGGAAAGGCAGGCATTGATAGGGAGGAGGGGTGGGGGGTTAGTGTAATTAGTGGGGTACCTGATGTATGGAGAGTCATGGCATGCGAGGGTCACTCCAGGGGGCAAGAGGCCCCATACCTCCCTTTACTCAAACTGAAACACCTGATCCTACGCCTGTCAGGGTTCCGAAGACTTCGGTTAACTAAGTCCTGTTCTGAGACCCAGGGGTCGACCCCAAATACATTTTAATGCTGCCTTAATACAGACGCTGTGTTTGCAGGTTGGAAGTCACCGTGTTGCAGCTTTGTAAACTGGCCCTGTTCAATAGTCCAGTTTCCTATAACAAACAGACTCCCTGATAAAGAAATGATGAGCTGTTCATGTTTGGGTGATGTCTGCTTTTTTCACCACATCACCAGTTGTCACTGTTATCCTCTGTTTTTTTTGGGTTGCTATGACTGCCTATACAATTTCTAAAAACAGTGTACTACTGCGCAACAATTTATTTGAAGAAAGCCAGGTAATCAGCCCAAAGAAATATCAAAAAAATCTTGGATTGATTTAACAACACATTTGTAATGCTTTGTGGTGTGGCTAGATAATTTGACATTACATAATGTTGTTGCACATTACTAATCTGCTTTTGGACAGTAACTCTAGCAAAAGCACATGAGTTAAATTAGCCATCTCTTAAAGCTATCAAACATAATTAAACATAAAGGGAACAAGCCATGTCTCTATTTATTTCATGAGGAAGGTTACTTACGTTAAATGTGATTGTGAAATCATGTTATTCTTTTGCAAAGCAAGAATGGTAATTAAGGCGTTTTTAAACGTCACAATGCTTTGTAGATATCACTTGTGGTTGTCTCACTCAATGTATTTGGTAATAAAGTCATTGCGTTCCACACCCAAATCAGCAGCGGCATTCAACCACAAGGGAAGCACAACCCGTTCACTGCAAAGGGAAGTGAGCTTTCACATGTGTGCTGCACTTGTTCATTTATCAAAAACTAAGTTGGCAGTGTTAACTGGACTATCAGGTTGACTTTAAGGAAGGGTTATTCCCAAGAAGTTCCTTTTAGTTATATTTCCTGCCTCTGTTTTCATTCCAGAGTTGTTGTTGTAGGTAACTGCTCTCTTTTCCAAGTAAAATTAAGGTGAGTGATCTTTTTAAACCTCTCATTAAGTAGGACTTTAAGAGTTGGCTGTATTTATGCAGAGGTTGATGGTCACTGTCGTTAGAGAAACGTGCGGGGGAATCTGCAACAGGAGGCCAGAACCTGACTACTGACAACGCATAAAGTTTGACTGAATGTGCTCTTCATTGTTTATGCACTTCTGAAGAACTCGTGGTGTGATGGCGTGTTGCTTTTGGCCAGTGTTCCCTTGCCACTGGGTACTAGGGTGATGACCAGAGGATTCAGTGGTATGTCTTGACCTCCCTAGGACAATTTTTACGACCCCGGCCTCATTATATGAGAGAGGGGTGGCTGTGTGTTCACCCTGAATTAACAATCGACACCGCAGACTTAGACAAAAGAATTGCCCTTACTTTTATTCATTCCGGACTACAAAAAAACCTGACAGTGCAAAACCTTTCTTTTTGATCTTCAGTTTTGTCACCTATGACCATTAATAGTATGTAAAACAGATCAACCTCAAGTCTCTTGTGTTATAAAATCACATCTGAATAGAGAGAAATGTTCAATTTTCAGTTTGACACTAACACTAAAAGTTTTTAACTGATATGCACAAGGTGTTTCACTTGCATCGCCCATGCTGTGTTTTGTACATCATTTTATTAGTATGAAATGAGTTCTTCAGCTGCAGCCACCGATCAAAGTCCTGACACCAGACGCGTTCCGCACAAGTATGCAGTAACCAAAGCCAATTGGTGATGGACACCAAACACCCCGTCACAGAACTTTAGGGGGCCCCAAATAGGCTTCTATTCATCTGCCTGTACAAATCACCGCCTGGGCAAAGAGCCATATTATCTTAGCTGCCCTTTCTAGTGCCCTCCTAAGTCATTGGCCATTGTGAGCCAAGAGCTGCTGTCTGCACCCCAGAGTACACACATTGGACTTGAATTACCATCTGATTTGAGTCCACAATGGAGGCGAAATTGTGTTACATGAACCTAGAACAGGCCAAACAATAACAAGTTTCCATTTGATAGTGCAGCCTTTCTTCAGTTTAGTTTTAATCTCATGTAAAAGGAAAACTGCAAAAACTTGACATCGCGGGAGACATTTGTTTGAGACAGGCGTTGTAAATATATATATTTTACATATACACTAAATAAATATGCATGACTAAATTATTCACCCTTACTACAGATTACTACTTTCTCAGCTTTCATTGACTTCATCTGCCAATTTTCATACTAGGAAACCATGGCATATGTCCAGAAAATGTCAAGTTTCTAGTAACTAAAGTCTTGAAAAGTTTGAAAAATTGCTTAATTTTAGCTGTTATATATTCAAGGTTAGAAATATGCTTGCCTGAAATTTGAAAATACATGATTATTTAGGAAAAGAGTACTGAATTGAAACAATCCCCTCAAATGCATATGTTTTCTCCTTGCGTCTCACACTAGCAATACGTAATAATGATCTAAACAAAAACATGCACATTTATAAAGAACAGCCAGTAAGAAGGAAAGTGACTTTACATATTAATTGCAGTGGGTATAAAGGAATTTTGTGAAATTAATTTTTTGCAATTGCATTTGTATCAATTTAGTTGAGACGATCAGGGTTATATGGTCTGTAAATGTTTGGTTAAAGTACCTTGAACATTTTAGACTTTTACTTAAAAAGTTGTATGAATCCTGCCTTTTTTTAAATAATTGTGTACAATATAAGGGACTACTTGTAGGCTGAGGTGTCCTGCAACCTGATCATATCCTGGGGATCTTTAGAAACAGAAAAAGTAAAGTAAAGTAAACTTTAAAAAAAAATCTGATCAGATCAGTAGAGTCTGCACACAAGTGCGCCGCAGTTCTCCATTCGTCTCTGGTTTCCCCATCATGAAGAGTCGGATCATTAAGTAAGCATGGCTCCGGGGTTGAATTCACACTCGGTTTGCCCTCTCCCATGACCTCACTTCACACACACACACACATACAAGTACACGTCAGCATAGACAGGCACGCATTAATACAGCTGTTCGAGCCCTGGTGGAACGCGTCACACTTCAGTCAAACGGCACACTGTAACAACCTTTGCATGTGACCGTCATGCTCCTCAACTCCTACCCTGTCTAACAAAGACACACACTCACACAAATGCTGCTTCTTTGGCCTGCCCATTACTCAGTGTCAGCCCTAATCAGTAAAGTAATCGGCAAAACTGATCAAGAAGAACATTCCCGGCCGTCTCCTCTGACTCCCACCTCCACCAGCAGCCCCTCTCGCCTGCGGAGGCCCAGTTGTGCTCCAATGACTCTCCGGGATAAATGGAGATAATAGGAGTCATATGCTAGCAGTTGGTTTAGGGCAGGCCTACATGAAACATTTATAGTCTTCATGTAGTCATGGGGCTCAACAAGAGGGAAGGAATAAAGATGACAAAGTGAAGAAACGCAACATGACTAGATATGACAATTCTTGTGTGAACAACATTATTTTTCATGAAGTGTCCCTCTTCCCCCCCCCCCTCCCTACACTCGTTACTCTCCCACAAGACTCATTTAATACCCCGTGCACACTTGCAACTGTCTCTCTGAAGCATGTTATAAGTGCAACCACCCTCACTTAACATGAAACCACATGTTACACGGGCCGGATAACATAGTAGGCCTGGAAGATCCATTAGCCTCATGTGTTGCTCCACAGCAGAAAGCTGTCATTAGCCAACAGTTGATCTGAACCATGCTGGTACTCTCTAATTGGAAGCTGTCGGTGTGTTTGGTGGTTGTCTAATGACGGAGAGACAGTCACGGCAGCTATTTCGACATTTGTAGTCTTTTTTCCAAGGCTAATGTAAGCATAAATGGACCTGCCTTTCATTTATCTTGCATGCATTAACATCTGAGAGATTGAGGAGAGCAGACATGATGATGCGTGTTTAGCATATGGCCCATCTGCCTTGCATATATATCTAAGTGTTTTTAAGAGTTTGTGTTTACTGCACTAGCTACTGTCCGTGCTCTTCCATCTGCGGGCGAAAGCAGTCGATGAGGAAACCGCAGCTCCCTATATGTTCCTTTTCTATCCATGCGTCTTAGCCACATCTGTAGTCATGTGCTGTGAGTGATGCCTTTTCGCAGATTAGCTGAGCTGGCCTTCTGTTGCAGCATGTTTAGATCCCTATATGTTCTGGAGATTATGTTGGCATGCCAAATGTTCCATTATGTACTGTGGTAGGGAAACTATTTAACATATGGCAGCCTGTTTTGTTCACAAAGACTGCATTTTTACAAGCGTTTCGCTATAAGGAGAACTGAGTGGATCCGTTGCTATGAGAGTCATGGTGGTAAGTGTTGAATGGAAAAACAGAAGTCAGCACTCATTTTGATCAAGTATCTCAGCAGTAACATTTTGCACAGAATAGTTCAATTGCGTAGTTAAAATGCTTTGCTTCACTTATTAGAGAATCCAGCTTATAAGGTTCAAGCTCAAACATCTAACTCATAAGCACATGTTTTAAGTACTATAGAGTTAAAGTTATTTTCCATAAGTAATGTGTCAATCCTGTGATTTGAATCCGCTCACAAATGTAATGGGTCCTTTTTTGGCCCATGTTACACACTTCATTTCACTAAAATCAGGACAGTAGTTCTTCCATTAAACTGCTGACAAACAGACAAAGAACCAACAAACTGAACTTAAAACATAACCTTCTTTGCTTAGATAATGAGTTTGTATTTTTTATGTGCCTTCTTTAAATGGTTTTATTTACTCTGAGTAACAGGATGTTGTGTGTTGGCCATTGAAAGCATATCTTTTTTTTTACTTTTACATTTCATTTTAGCTGACGCTTTTTTATCCAAAGCAACTTACAATTACAGGGACATTCTCCCTGGAGTAACTAAGGACTAAGTGCCTTACTCAAGGGCACACTAGTGGTGGTGTTCCTGGCGGGATTTGAACTCACAACCTTCCGATCTTCAGCCCACCTCACTATCCATTAGACCACCACTACACCTACCTATATCTCACACGTCAATCTCCTTTTTGCAATCGGGGCTCGCTACTTTTGCAAGGGCACCGTCGCTTCATCCTGTACTGAGCGTCGCCCAAACATTTGTGAATGGTATAAAGAAATATAATAAAGCCTTTTATACCAAAATGACAATATGTGGGGCCAGACATGTCTACCCCGCTGACACAGTGATATAGAGATAGTCATGGCTATGTGAGACTATGTGTTATTGGACATCAGTCAAGCGCCAAACAGCCCGGCACATGATCTGCAGTTTGCATGCTTCTCCTCACGTAGGGGTAGTATTTGATTATACATTAAAAGGGATTTCTGCCTAGTTTTATTAGATTGTTGTCCCCAGTATATGTGAAACACCTTGTAAAAGTATGAATTACTACCACGACTGTAGGCTATGCCTGAGCTGTGTTTAGGTGGATCTGTTGGCACAACACACCCAAACCTGGAATCTTTATCCTCCAACTTTCTTACCTGTTGATTCAGTTTGGCAAAGTGGAAACTAGCCATGTTTCAATGTTTTGCATGTGTCCTAGAAATGAACCCATTGGCAGTACATTTGTATTTCTTGTTGACTTTACTCTTCTCTTCCTCTAAACACAGGGATCAGCTGAAGTGTTGGACACACCCTCCTAGTTCCATCACCGCCACCAGCAGCACTCGAGGGCTCAACTGCAGATGGGAGGTCACCAACAGGTCGTTTGTTTCGCCCAAATGCACCTGTGTTGGCTCCACGTCTAAGATGGCTGCCCTTGGCCTTCTCCTGCATCCAAACAGACTGGAAAAGAGCTGCGTGCTACCATGGTGATCATTTACTTGAAAACACTGGAAAAGAAGAAGGGTGTCAATGATGTAAAGTCCAAGAGCACCGAGAGACGGCTGGTGAGGGAATGTTTTTGAGTTTCACACAAAAGACACTGTTTTTTAACTTCAGTGAGTAGCTGCACAGTGTTTCGCAATTTAGGCAGTAGTCAGCAGAATTAATAGGTCAGTGATTATATTACATAAGGGCGTGGCGACATGCCACAGATGCTACATTGAGTCAGGTATACTCACTGGCACTATAAATGTACACCAGACTACAATGTTTTAGCCTGTTCATTAGTTAGTCATTCTTTTTTGTTTTTGATTTGATTAGTGTAACAGTGAAAGAAGGTAGTAGCCTTGCTTTAAATGTATTTGCTGTACACACAGTCATGTGAGAAGATGCACATCAATGTTCGCATTCAGTATCAAGAGGTCCAGGATTTTTTAAGCCTAGCATAACACTAAACTGAAAACAGGGAAAAATCTAAGATTAAATAGCTCAGTCCAAAGTCAGCTTGTACGTTGATTAACATCTGATAAACAAGGCTAACCTGCCCCAAGCCTATGACAACGTACAGATGAATGGAAAGACCTGAAGAGATTGGTGCATATTCATATATTTCTCCCTTTCATCTATTAACTGGTTTCAGTAGTCATCATGCCATAAAGTGACGAGTATTTGCATTTGATTTTTTATCGCCATACAGATAGCAGAGTAGATGAGTTGCTTAAAATTATAATCCATTCAAAGCTTTCTTTCTCTCTGCTGTTATCTCCATGTCTATAAAAACACTTTAAATCATTGTAAAGATTGTGTCTATCTGAAATCTAAATACTCCTTCAACCTCTCAACTGGAGGTGCAACATAAAAAATCTTAACCAAAGATTAAAATCAAGATATGTATATAATTAAAACTCCGAGAAGCTTTGCCTGATCATGTATAGCATGCAGGCCGACAAGCCTTGCAAATCTCTCACATATTTTCCTGTACCCTCCCTACTTTTTTTTCTTTCTCAACATTTTTTTCTACACTATTGTAGACATGTTCTATAATATATAGCAGTCAATATATTCTTTGGTTTAGTTGTCGGTTTACCTAGCTTAATATTACATTTTCACAAGGTCTGAAGTGTTAGTTTCAAATAGTTGAATTTAATCGTATTTTGCGAAACAATAGCTTTTTTTTAATTGTACGAGTTGTATCTTAGAAAACATTGTTTTGTTGTGGTGATAACTTTAAGTTGAGTCAGAGCATTGCATCATGGCATTTCCCTTTTGTCCTTTGTGCAGGTAGCCACCACCCTGTAGTTAAAAGTGAACTATAAGAGAGGGTAGGTGTCGGATTAGAAAATGGGCATGTGTAGACAAAACTGACTATGAAAAATAATTAGTTTAAAGCTGAAGCGGCGTCAAAGATATTCTTTAGTGCAGCTTTAGGTTACCTTTCAAAATGGTATCTGGTTGAGGGAGACAACAATAGAGATTTCATCTTCTCATAAAAGCTTTTTTAAATGTACTGTAAAATGTGTTGTAAATATGGCGGTACAATAATGGTAGTGGATTATATATACTACATACTTTATGTAGTGGAGTGGATTTATAAAGCAGCTGAAAAGTGAAATCGGCATTGATATCTTTTTCTGATCGTCTTTTAATGGCAAAAGGTTGCACTTTTTGGTTTATTTTGTGTCTCGCTGACGTTCGGTCCCTGTGTTTGCCTGTCCTCCACAGCGTGAGCTCCACACCATGAGCAGAGGGACCACCCTCGTCTCCTGTGGAACTGTGGGTGGCAAGGCACAC